TTCTGAGCAGCTCAACTGATTCTGTTTCTGAGCAGCTCAACTGATTCTGTTTCTGAGCAGCTCAACTGATTCTGTTTCTGAGCAGCTCAACTGATTCTGAGCAGCTCTTACAAGTTGCAACCGATCTGCACGTATTCGCTCTCACCTTGTGTAACCAACCGAACTTCGCTACCGACCAGCGGAACTTCTTACTACCAACGCCTCTTCGCTGCAGCTCATCGTGGCACAACCGACTTTAGGAAAGATCAGCCTCAAGGATTGTGGTAGCCCTCTTTGATGAACTCGACCAGCCGGATCATCTTGGCTCAGTGAGCAACAAAGATACGATATCATGCATTACAAGGTCTGGTCCATACACTCATAGGAAAAAACAAAAGAAAAACCACTAAAGGGAAAAAGTATCGTCAAGGGTATACTCATTCTCATTCTGGGACAGGGACTTTCATGCGAAAAATGCTAACGCGTCGGAAATGTTTTCTATCCATTCATCATCGATCACAATCTAAAAATTCTAGGTGTCACGCAGACATTAGACCATCTTCCTCTTCGTCCTCTCTGTGTTTCAGTGTAACGCACAGAGTTGAAGTAGTTTCCGTCACCGCGGTTTCTGTCTTCATACAATGGAAATAGATCATCTCAACAATATCGCCTAACTTACTAAAAGTATTTCATCAACTACACACCAGTATCCCACAAGCATGCTACTCCCAATCCTAAGAAGCACCTCAGCTATCACCATCCAACGTCGGTTTGGACCAGAAACCAAGACACCCCGAAAGGTAAGATCTCCTGTTTGTTGGGGGAGAGTGAATAACTCACTACCATAGCGTCGATTCTAAGTTCTTGAGTAAGCTACATTATTCCAAATAACCTAAATCAAGAGTCGTATTGTTATTTTGCATTTTTTTTTCGCGAAAATCATAGTGCTAGGAACAGCACAACCAGCCTTAGGAAAGCTAAACGAAAAGAAGGTAGTACTTCACGCATGCGCTTGCTTTCCCACCAAGTTTCTGACCAGTGACCATCTCATCCTCCTTCAACATCAAGATGCAACTTTCCCGACCATTTTTTTGACTCATGAATGGCACGTTCGCATTCATCCTCCTCGAATCGTGGCGAGGACTGAGCGGGGAATTTTGGGTTAACGTCAAATTCTATAAAGTGATGGTCTTGATTCATGTTCTTGAAGTTGATTTTTGCAGCATCAAAAAGGTTTTTTAATATTAATGAACTCTCTCTAACTGATTTTACTAATTGTCCTACGTTGCTTCTTTCGCTGCAAAGTCGCAAGCAACTCTGTTTCGTCCGGCTTGATAGTAAAACCTGAGAGGAGAATTTTGGGTTGTTTATAACGTAAATTCTATAGTTTGATGGTCTTGATTCATGTTCTTGAAGTTGATTTTTGCTGCATATTAATGAACTGTGACTGGTTTTACTAGTTGCGTCATCTCGCTGAGCTTCGCGAAGCCACGTGTACAGCTTGTTGAACTCCTTTAGTCCAACATAGTCCGTTAAGATTTCCGATTCCTCTCTGGCTACGGCGTTCATCGTCGCAACCATGTCGTCACGATTCGGGATGCGGGTCCACTCCACCGCATGATCGTCGTAATTAAAAGACTCGTCATATCTCAGCCCGCAACGGATATCCTCAACGCCTATTGATGGAACCGCTATTCTTGATGTACCCAATCCTTTCCCCCACTTGAGGAAGAATTCTCTTGCTCGGGCATCTGGCGGGAGTCATCATGAGAATTATACAACATTGATGAGTGAGTACTTGAGCTCACAGGAAAGAATCTCCACATTCCTTTTGCTTAGGGTTTAGGCCCCGATCATTCCTGTACTTATCAACCTGACCACGTTGAGAACAACCATCCTACACAAATCAGCTATAATCAGAATGTACCTTCGGTATTCGCTGAACTCAGCTCTTTGCTGGCGTCCGCCAATGCCTTTTGAGCCGCACTCACAGCGGTCCTTACACTCGCCACATTCACATCCTTCTGCACAGCCTTGTTGACTTGGAGCACACTTGTTTCGCCATCAGCACCGAAGACAGCCGTTTTCCCACCGCTTTTCCTATCGAGAGCACCGTCGCGCGGGCCTAGGCGGGCAACGACGACACCCCCCATGCATCCAGCAAGCATAGCCGGACGAGCAAGCTTCGGCAACATGCAACGGGACATATTGATACTTTTGTCTTCTGTAAAGTCACAGGGATGACTTCAAACTACACTCCAACGAGACAAATGGAACGACTAAGAAATGTCCAGGTATAGTTGCAACCGCCCTTATACTAACTTACAAATATATATTTTTTCACGGATCGCAAAAGTTGCTGGTTTTGAGAGGACATGCTCAAGACGTCTCACACTCACGCTCGCGGCACACAAGGTTTTAGATGAAAGCAGCAACGCTGTCTTTTGCAGTTTCCGGCTGTTCCGTCTTCCTCTTCCTTCGGTTCTCACTCTCACTCCCACTGCACTCGGCTCCTTGGTATTCTTTTGTTAATACTAGGTGCACTGCTAAGATTGATGCGGATAGAACCTTCGACAAAAAGACGAACCCGGTTTTGAATTTGGGATCCTCCTCTAGCCGTCCAAGACTGATGGAACACGATAAAAATTTTGCCTGCGCACCGCTAGCAGGAGCACCTTAACCTTTTAGCGAACGACTTCACTTGATGTAGAAGTTGTCGCTGTCAGTTGTTCCCAGTAATTTCTGGAAGACATCTTACCACTTCATGTTCATCCTGGAGCCATGAGCTCGATTGGTACAATGTGATAGAAGAGAATGTGAGACATTTTCAAATGTTCATCATTATTAAGGTCTGAACGTTATTTTGCTCACGCATACGTCGATAGAATCCAATGTAACGACTATGAGACCGATTCTGAGATTGAGTAGCAATGGTCTGCGATTGTTGAGTAAGTTCTCTAAAAACTAGAGGTAGAGAGGGTCCGTTGCTTTCATGTTATGGCGAGAAAAGTCGTCTATTGGCAGATTAGAACAATTTATCGTGGTGACCAACTCAGGATCGGATGGATCGGATGGACTTCCCGGGTCCGCTAAGCATTTCCAGTAGGGACCGAAGACTTAGGTAGGCCCATCCGGTCCATCCTGCGTCCGTTCTAGCATATGTTTAGCGGTTTCGCAATCGCCTTTTCCCTTGCAAACAACCGGACGCGAATTGATGAGGCCCTGCCTGTCGACGCCGCACCTGAAGATTCAACGGGATCAGGAGGTGGATCGATTAATATGTTACTTAAAGTACAGAGATAGTAAGTCAAGTAAGTATGAAGCCATCTTGTTGGAAGTGTTAGTGTAGTCCTCGAAGAGTGGATGGAGCCATTTGATTGGAAACCTTAGATACAGGTCGTGAGGACAAGGACCTCCATTACCGATACCAAATGCTAATTGCAACTAAATTCCAGTTTCTAAATTCTGAATGTAACTTCTTACCCATCTGATCCAGCGGCGCAAACTGCCACGGAGACACACTCGCCAGAAACATCTGTGCCACAGATCCAGTTGTGCATGTGATTCGAGATACCTGTGGCCACGACTGAAAGAGCACTTGAAGTATTACTTGGAGGCAGTCAGGGGTCACTATCCGAAGTGGATGTTGAGATTGAGTGAGTTGTTTTCTACTTTCCATATTAATTATAACATTATTCCTCCTATAAATCATCAAGGGAGCCATCACTCACGGTCATAGCTCGCTCCAGATAGTGACTGAGAGAGTAGCCTTAACTTACGCGCATTGATGATAGCTGCAGCTGCACCACGCGTCTGGCTCATAGAAATAAATTCTCCCTTCAGCAGAGCTTTATCCTTTGCAAGTGCGGACTGAATCTGAAAAGAAGTAGATGTTGACGAGAAAAAGCGGATTGACAATGACAAAACAGCGGAGAAGCGCGCCGCTCGCGCCAAGAGCTGCGCTCTTTGACTCACAAATAGTGGCACACCCCCACCTCCTGACCAAGTGCCACACCAGTCTTCTAGTACTACTTACGCGGCATACGCCGCTTCGTGGAAGGCCGACGCCGGAATCGGTTTTGTTCGATGGAGATCCTCGCCAAGCGCCGTCAGGACTTACAAAAAAACGTGAAAACTAGGGACATGCAGCTCCCCTTTACACGGCCACGCGAAATCACAATGCCCTGCTGCAGACCTCTTCATATCGTTCGTCAACGGCAAGATTTAGAAAAAACCATGGCTCTGAACTACTCTGTTTTCATATTCATCTATGAAACTGAAAAATTTTTGTCACCGCCTGTTCCGAGCTCATCTTCCGGAGGAGGTCTCGATCGTAATATTCATAGGGCGGTAAAAGAGTTTTAACTGTCCTAGCCGTGATGCTGGAACAATGTTGATGCGCGAAATTGGCTTCATCAACATGTCTACGATTTCCTGTATTTCGTTTAGATTCTGCACACATCTCCATAAACAAAAGAGATCCTCGACGGACACAAACCCGTGTAACTCGGTGGTGCGGAACAGAACCCTCGATCATCTTCGTCCCACCCCACTGGACAATGCGAGTCGTAGTCTCGAATACAGTCACCCGGTAAGTCGGAGTCGTGCACTGCTTGCGACTCCGCGACTCCACGCATGGCCCTAAACAATGCTTGTCTTAGAGAATCCCCTATTCCATTCCGCAAATATAACAAGAAAATCCCTGGTGACTGACGGAGCTACTGATTACCATTCTTCTTGGAAATCTAGACTAGACAATCCCTGACTGGCTTTGGCTTTACCCTCATAATGTTGGTGGAGCAGGCCTAACTAGAAAAAACAAAAACAAATAATCAAAACTATCCCTGAGCCTGACTGAAGTAAAGGTCTTACACGTCTAACCCCACTTGGAAAGTAACAAGCATTCTAGTTGGTTCTACTAGTAGGTACAGTCATCATGATCATGTTATATCCCTTGGAAAGATGAAGTGAAGACTTTCTTCTTTGAACGAAGTCGGGATAATTGAACATGAGGCTATCATTACAGGGACCACCGGTGCAAGGTATCATAATTATAATTCAGTAGGCCTAGCCTATGATAGCATGTCGCAGTGAGGTATAATGGCGCAATCTCATATCAGCCACCCTTAATTGTAGTGGTCCAGACTGCTTGAAATTTTTGAACATCGTGCCGAAGACTTTCCCCAAAATTCCGCTAGTGGATTGAAAAGCTTGGATCAACACGTCGTTGTACTCCTGCTGCTTCGCTTTATCTAAATCGGCCATGGCAACTTTCTCAATTTCCGTCATTCGATTTGTGTCAGCCCTCGATACTGGACCAGACAACTGCTTCATTGGCCAGTGCACATTGCAGATTTTGGAAAAGAACAGCTTCATGCGTGGCGTATAGAACCACAAGGTCTTCTCTCCTAAGCACGGGCCCTTGTACTTCGCGACGCAATGCCCTTTCTCGAGCTTGCAACCGGTCGTGTCTCCACCACTGCTGTTGTACAAGTGGCAATGCTGGATGCCTTCGTAGGGACTTTAGAATGGAGCCCGAGAGGAAGAAGACCTACTGTAGAAATACATCACACTTACAAGCTGAAGATTAAGTGCAGAAATATACACCTGCAGCTTCATCTCCTCGTAGCGGCACTTTGATCAATATAATCGAGCAACTTTTATACGAATATCAACGAAGTCAACATAACTTTTCGAGCACGTCTCGCATTTCGCTTGCTTATTGAGAAACACGCTCTCCGTTATCTTCTCGCACGTCCGCGTTTCCCTTGCGAGGCAAACGCCTGTTTCCGGATTGAACTTCCACCCTTGCGGACAAGTATTCCGCGCCAAGGCCGAAAAGTCTTCCGACCATCCCCCTGAAGACGCACAAGGCCACGAAAAATGGCATTTTTGCTCCATGCCTCGTTTGTTCCTAAGCTTAGAACTAAGAGAAGTCCATCTTCGAATAGCTCGTCTCGGCTTCCCTTCATCCCGGTTTTTCTTTAACGTTTCGTCTTTAAAAATGGGACAATTAATGCTGTAGAAGTTGGGGAAGACGAAGATGGATTTCCGTTTCGTATAGCCGTAATAATACTGTCTGGCGTTATCTCATTGTCAGACTCAAGCTGCCGCCATCCGATGCCCTGCAGCCGGAAATAAGCAATCTGCTTGGCGCCACCGAGACTTAGAACGAGATTCAGCTACTCACGTGTTTCGTTAAGTACCTAATCGGTTTTAATGACCGCGTATCCGTTTCATCTACGACGCACCACTGAGCCACTACATACAGGTACAACTAGAGCAAAACTTACCACGACCCGAAAATCTTGTTTCACAACTCAACGTGAATCTCTATCAACATCGTATCATTTCCTATCACCATACACTATCTTGGCTATCATTCCCTAACTTGAGACTTTTCTTACTCACTAGTACTAATGACATTTTTTCCTATCACGGCCATAAGCCTCCCTCACTCCCTTGAAGATCCCATGCCGTCATGATTTTGTATTTTTTTCGACAGCTTGGCGCAACCGACTGCATGTACCCCTCTGCATCTGGTCTTGGATCCGATTCGACCGGAGGTTCAATGTCCGCACTATCCGCATTTGCTCCCCTATTTGCCAATGCTGCAGCTCTTTGATTCGCGTGTCTTAGAGATGGAAGTACTAAAAATGGGTTGCCATCTTCCGTAGTTATGATTGATGAAGGAGAAGGAGGCCAGGCACTCCACACTTCTACTTTCCTCTTGATCTATGGCTATTCTCCTTGAGATCGTGCCACTATCTAATGAACTTGAATTCATAAATTAAGTAGATAAACAACTGTAGTATGTACATGAAGTCAATATCGAACAGTTCTTAGTTCCAGTACATATAATATAAATTTCATTGGTGACTCAGTGAGAGTCTCTCACAGTCTATGTCTATTAATCGACTTCGACACTCTCAGTCTAATATTGATCAAAATGAGACGACTCATTCCCCACTGAGACGAGGACGACCGGATTATACCGATATGGATATACTAGTAATATATAAGAGTACTAGTATTTTTGGTAGTAGTTGTAAACCCAATCCAGGGGGAGGGGCACAGTCGAAAATACTACTTAGGTCTTAACTGTCTTTCAGCGGGTGTTTGAGAGGTAAGCCACTGCTGACGCATCTGTTCTTGGATGGCGTCATCGGTGCTCTGGTCATTGTCGTATCGTTTGATCTTGGGTTGCGTTGGCAAAGGCTCTGCCATTTTCGACGGGTCACCGTTTGAGCCTGCTGGAATGATTCTTTTGCAGACAAAGATTAGAGCATAAGCAATCCTCGTTCCTAATGAAGCTGTGTCTGAAGAGTACGCAGGATAAACTCTCACAGATAGGAGAAGCGCATATAATCTCGAAGATATACATAGTTCTTTTGCACGATCGATCTTCGCTTACATGTGAGCGGGAGATAGGAGAAGCGTTGTGGCACTTACAACATAACTTGTATCCTTTGAACTTCGCGTAGGTCCATCCACTGGGACAGCCTGATCGATAGTCTTTCGAAGGGCACATCCCACCCGGCGCCTGTTCGTCGAGCATCGAGGCCTCCTCATCCTCGGGTTCGGGAAAAGGAGACGGGTAGCTGGCATCGAAAGAAGGGACGAAAGAAGTTACAACTGGCCGCATGCTTCGGTTTGCTGACGTCCTTGTTTTGGTTTCTGATGCCAAGCTGGGCTTAGGCTTACCGCTCTGCTGCACCATGATGTTGTGCACGACATCAACATGATGATGAGTATTCGCGGACATGGTGGAAACGACCGGCATCTTGTTGTTCGTTGAGATGATGAATCTTGATTGATTGATTCATGTGCCTACTTACTACTTTATTGATGAATCTTGTTACTACTTTATTGATGTCATCGCGTCGTTTCGGGAATCTACAACTCGGAACTCCGCTAGGAGCAAATAATAAGTATCTTATACTTGTCGGGTGTTTATAATCGAGAGGATGAGGAAGCCGAGGTGGGGACGACGTACTATGATAAGTTGAAGTACATCAGCCGAGTAGCATTACCTGACCGATCAACTTATTCGATGGAGCCGAGGCTTATTCGATGGAGTGAGTCTCTAGTCACCACTTCTCCGGTGATTCAATCCCGAGGACCTGAGGCACAGCGATCCCGATGTTGATTCATGGTCATATCAATCAATCAAGTGGCGATACGCGGTGGTCCGGATCTAGCAGACGTGACCGTACTTGATGAATGTTAGTTATAGTTTGCTGCCGGTCACGACACTCCCAGCACATCAACGATCCTACTCGCCTGAAGAACAGTTAAAAGTAGAAGAGCGCTCAGAAATCACGAACAGAGAGTAGACCGAATGGCACTGATTGTATTTCTTGTCGGAATCCAATAGATCTCGCTTACTCTTCCCGCGGTCAACCTTCAACATGTACAGACTCAAAACCGAACCAAATTTAGGCCGAACACAAGGGAATATTAACAAGAAAAACAGGAAAAGCGCTACGCGCTTACAGTGTTACTAACTATCTCCTCTGCCTGCGCAGCTCTTGGCCTAGAACCCTACTGCTTTTTTGGTTTGAAGTGCGTCGTCAGGGTTGAAGTGGCTACATTGAAGAAAGTTTTTTGACCCAGGTAGAAGTCGACGCATCGGCAAATAGATCATCAAGATTAAAAACCAAGTTACTGCGTTACGAAGATCTAAAACTACTCGGATCAGCAGGAAAAAGCTTATTAGTGGCAACAAATTTTTCGTCAGTTTTTATTCATATCATACATTTTTATCTCTTTTTTAAGCTTTATATTGTTTTTTACTTTTTTATTTTTTAGTTGGGTAGATCTCTACTCTCCAGAACTGCACGATCATCAGCATGATTCTTTGAGGGTATTACAGAAGAAGCAAAAAAAATTCTTTGACATTCCAAACGACCAGAAAAGGAGACAGCACCGGATTCTTCATCATGTCCTTCGCCTTTTTTTACTACCTTCAACTTGATAGGACCACGAAAAAACCTCCAGGAAAATTCAGGTCCATGAATGATTAGCATGAAGACTGCACGGGATTATGGGAACTATTTTTCATTCACGCACAAGGCCTCGCAGCGGAACTATGACTTGTGAAAGTACCACTGTAGCGCTCACACAGATAACAGCATTGACGAGTAGTCGTCAGCGTGACCTGAAAAAGCCGAGACATGAAAGAAAGAGGAGCAACACGGAAAGACTTTCTATGTTAATATGCGCATTATGTTATTCGCATTCAAAGGCCTTTATCCTTATCTAAATGCAGACTCGTCAACAAGTTGAAAATGGGCACAGTTCAGTTCCCTACGTACAAGCCTGCGCCGTTCTAGTCCTTTTTTCGGCATGTTCGTCAAGCAAGAAGACGGCGGAAGCACTTTCGAATGGTTCCGGTATTTGGTAACCTGAATTGGATCACAAGGATGCTCTTCTTGTTTTCCCTTATGATCAAAATCAGGTTACCAAATACCGGAGCCATACAACTTGCCATTTGTTCTCCTCCTTGGGTTTTAGGAAAATAAAACGATCCCGAAAAATTGCGAAATTCATCCCAAGAAACTCTGCGTCCTGTGTTGTCTCCTTGAACTTACAACTCTGCTCGAAATAAAGTTATGGAAACGTCGAATCTTTTTATCTTGCTTGCCTTGTCTCGCATTCTCGTTCTCCACAAGAATATCCATGACAGTATTTCAGTTTTCACTACTCATGCGTTACCTACGCTCTTCTTTTAGTCACTCTTACTTACTCTTTTCTTGACAAACATCTTCCTGTGTGCCGCATTTTGTGTAAGTAAGTATGACTTTCTCCACCTAAATGCATAGATGGTGTCCTCTAACTTATGATGCCAGACCACCGAGGCACCAACATAGGCTCCTCTTATCCAATCCTTACACCCCTGACGTCCCGTAAGCCCTCGTCCAATCTTCAAACTGCTTTAAGTCCTCAGCTCCGCAACTCGCTTTTATCAGCTGCAACGCTCTCTGCATATGCCTCACACGCAGTCTGAGATTAGAGGCGTCAGCTTGAATCCATCTCGGCCCCCCGCCCATCTTCTTGGTAGCTTGTTTTCCCTTGAAGATGTATCATTCTATGTATGTATGGGAAAAGAACGCCGAAGCCACTGCAGCTGAGCCAAGGTGGCTTAGGCGTTCTGTTCACTTATTATATTTCATGGAAACGACAAAAAGATTTATTATATTTCATGGGTACCAAAGAGTAGATGCTAACAAAAACATCAAGGATCATGGGTAGAAAAAGCAGACCATAATGGGAAGAATGGTTCGCTTTCTCATATTTTCGTCTTGTCTCAGATCGTCGAAAGAACAACTCTGAACCCCACTTTGAGGAGCTGTCCCAGAGCCGTCTACTTCTCCCCCAGCTATAATAGGTTCCAATGCGTAGTCTAGCTGGATTTAGAACTAAACTGCCCAATCCATCTTCTTCTTCACTATCTTCTAGTTCTACTGCAGCTAGTGATGGATTGAATCTATTCGGCGAGCTGCCTAAGATTTCCCAGACGCTAGTAAATCATATAAATGAAAACTCCTGCCCAATGCATCTTCTCCTAATCTACTGCCCAATCCATCTTCTTCTTCATTATCTTCTAATCTACATCATCTTTTTGACTACAGTACTCACATCCACGTAGGAGTAGAGTACCTCGTCTTTTCGCTTTCCCCTACTCACACTACTAGCACTTCTTGTAGTCGTGCACTACCGACTTTTCATCACGCTGTACTATAGACCTAGAACAAGTTTGTTCTGAAAACACTGCAACTTTTTTCGGTGGATGTCTCAGACGAAGAAGGGTGGATTTGGATTAGTTACCGGTCTTATCTATCAGGATGATCGATTGATTCAAACCACGACGAGGAAAATAGCCTTAATGTTCATCGAACGGGTGTGGTACTAAAACGACCCACTTGCTCGCTACCCAAAACTCTGAGACGCACTCCTGTAGAGCTTGTAGAACCAGAGCTTTCAGATCGCGGCCACTGAAATTTTCGGTTGCTTCCACAAATGAAGGATGACACGACTGATTCAGTTGTAACTTCGTCTCACAGTGTCTCCGTGAATAGTCACGGAGTTCCGTGAATAGTGAGAAGATGGTAGTGGTGAGAAGATAGTCACGGAGTGGTGAGAAGATGGTAGTGGTTCCGTGAATAGTGAGAAGATAGTCACGGAGTTCCGTGAATAGTTAGTCGTGGTCTCCGTGAATAGTGAGTGTGAGAAGATGGTAGCTATAATATTTAGTGACTCTGTAATGAATGATGCAACGAAGGGAATTTCGATGTGGCCGTGGTCGTGGTCGTCCCCCCCCCATCTAGTTCTAGATCTAGGCGGCCCATCCTACTCAAGTGGAACGACACTGTCGACCTTTTCCCTTGAGATGTTCATCTTAATCAGTTTCAGTGTCAGCATAGTACTAAGCTCTGCAGTAAAGGCGCGTGTTGTGCAACGTTAAGGCCATCTTCGCACCGTTCCTTCTTGAGGCAGCGTGCTAACAGGTCCTTGCGTGCAGCAACGTCGGGAAGGGGGATCAGAATCTTTGCAAATTAGAAGGAGAGAGGACCACAGATATTTTCTAAAAAGTTGCTGTATGCCTAGAGCATACAATTAGAGGCTACGGAGTTACATTCTTCAGAACATCCCTGGCCTCTTTTCTACTAGGAAAAGAGTCGGGGATGGTAGTGAGGCATGCAATTCGGAAACCCTTAATACAAGTAGTACGCTCCTGATGTATTAAGCTGATCAACAAAATGAATTCACACTTCAAGAACAAGCACCTCCAGCGCGTAGAAATATCTTTAAGATCAAAGTTGTGGTATTAATTAGTACCTTTTTTTTTGAATTATAGGAAATGATCCTCCAACCAAACCTGTTCTTCTACAATGCTAAAACTAGAACCGACCACGACTACGTGACCACACGTAGAATGCACGTAGAATCATCAAAACCATAATGAATCAATCTAATCGATCATAATTCTGAAATCTGCTTAAAATGGCTCTATCCAATTCCCATGGGGTGTTCGTGGCGCCGATGACCAACACCCCCTCCACACTGGGCCCAACGCCATCCATCTGCGTCAAAAATTCGGTCAATACTTAGAGTGAGATTTTTTGAGTAGATTGATTGATTGATGTGCCTGGCAGGAGGTCGTTGTTGGAAAAACTTCTTCCATAAACCCTAGACCCTCGTCCATTTTGATGATGAGACGCATCCTTGAACCTTGTTTTTTCCACATTATTTAACACCAGCAAAGCTTTATTTCTACAATCATTCAACAGAATAACATGTTTAGGATTTATTTTCCCACATTCATGAAAACGGACCACTCAAGATGCTCCCAAAGATGGATTTGGATTAAAGGAAGCCGTAAAATACTTGTCGGCTACTCTCACTTCGATTGTCGGAGTCACTCCGCTTCTGCACTAGGGAATCAATTTCGTCAAGGAAAACAACGCTTGGAGCCTGAAGTAATTCGTTTTGAAAACATAAAAAGCAGTGGAGCCACCTGTCGAAGTAGTAGTAATTGCATTTAAACCAGAGGCTAAACAAACGAAGGTCCATTCAATCAACTACATACGAGGTTTTTGGAATTCATTGGAAATTGTTACTCTAATATTAACAACTAGTACCCATGATCCTACATCAGCGACCACGTACACAGACATGCAAAAGCCAAGTTCCATACCAAGTAAAAGAAATAACATGCAAGAAGACCTTCTCTCTCGCTAGTTCGAATAGCGTCTTGACAAGTTTCGGCGAGTCTCCTACGAACTTACACATCAGGTCTGCCGCTGAGACACTGAGAAACGTCGATGCTGGTTTTTTTGCGTGATCTTGACCTCTTCCTCCTCTGCCGAAGTATGGTTCCCAAGTGTTTTTCCAACCGTGATCATCTTTGCTGTTTTTCCTTTCTTCAGCTGGCGCAGTAGAACTTGCCACCGCCTTCGCCAAGAATGTTTTCCCCGTTCCCGGTGGTCCGTATAGCAGAATGGCCTTCCACGGTACTAGCTGTGATTTTCCATGCGTGTACAGATGTGGAAAATCTAGTGGTAGCTCAGTTGTTAAGCGAAGATTAGAAGTCACAGTCACACACGATAAACCAAGATTAGATAGTGCTTGAAGAATGGCAATGCGTTTCAAGAGTCCTTTAACAAGAGTCCTTTTTAACAAGAGTCCTTTTTAACAAGAGTCCTTTTTAACAAGAGTCCCTCTTCAAGAAGAGTCCTTTTTAACAAGAGTCCTTCAAGAAGAGTCCTTTTTAACAAGAGTCCTTTTTAACAAGAGTCCTTTTTAACAAGAGTCCTTTTTAACAAGAGTCCTGTAACAAGAGTCCATTGAAAATGACAGTGGCTTAAGAAGAGTTCTTTTGGCTTCCTCGAGGCCAGAGATATCTTCCCATTTCACGTTGGGTGTGTCGATGACAATAGCGCCAGATAGGGTTGCTAGAAGCTCATCTTGTTGTTTTGAACGAGTAGCTTGCGCACCACCAGGTCCAGGTCCCCTTGAGCTGCTAGCGCCAGGTCCACTTGAGCTAGCACCCTGACCCTGTTCTTGTCCTCCTCTTGTCCCACCTCCCCCAGCTAGTGCTAGATTACCTGATGATGTTGAAGAAGAAAATTTCGCCAAAATTGATCCTCCGGAATCGATTATTTTCTTCAATTCCTCCGCCCGCTTCAAGATCTCCACCATTTTTTGCCTGTACAACGGCTTCGCCCGTTCATTTTTGCTGTACTTGAAGCCCAATTGCATCAACTCGAGGCCATGCATATACTCGTGAAAGGCCTTCAAAGCATTGCCTTCCTCTTCGAACCCAGAGGCAACCTGGAGAGTTGCCAAGGCACGATCGAAGTACTCCTGGGGATCGCACATGATGTTCTTCTTCAATTTCCAGCAAAAATGATGAAAGGAGGAGTAAGTAGATGACAGGGATTACGTTTTTATTACGATTAAGTACTTCAGATCTTCTAGATTAGGTCGTATGATGAAAGGACTAGACAGGGATTACGTTATTACGATTACTTCAGATCTTCTAGATTAGGTCATATGATGAAAGGACTAGACAGGGATTACGATCACTTCAGATCTAGATTAGGTCATATGATGAAAGGACTAGACAGGGATTACGTTATTACGATTACTTCAGATCTTCTAGATTAGGTCGTATGATGAAGGGACTAGACAGGGATTACGATTACTTCAGATCTAGATTAGGTCGTATGATGAAAGGACTAGACAGGGATTACGTTTACTTCAGATCTAGAAGTATAGAATCTAGGAGGAACTAGAACTTCATGATAATAATAATCATGTTGAACTCAAAAATAGTAGGAGTAGTTGCAGCAAGCAGTAGCAGAATGAAGTAGTAGTTGTACTAGAACTACAACTATGATGCATAAAAATCTGCTAGTCGTGAAGGTGCTTGGAGTAGGATTACTTCTATGGTATAATAATGAGAAACTTCTACCAAACAAGTGGCTATCAATCAAGCAACCATATGCCGGCCGTCTAACGAGCGGTGGCGCTTTCTATCAATCACTCAATCAGTTTGCTTCCACAGTGTCTGGTCCAAGTTTGCGTCCACAAAGTAGCGGGTCTTCAACACTAGGGAAATCCATGTTGTATTCCTTATAGTGAAAACTCTAACCTACCATTTATACATAGTATTCCTCTGGACAATACCAGGTGCCTCGTGCCTGGTGATGTAGGTTAAACTCTTTGCAAAAGAGTCTCTCTGCTTAGTCTTCACGACAGGTAAATGTAGTGACGTTAGGAGGATCTTCTCTACGCATCTGCTCATAGATTTGGAAGGCTGGACGGTGAATTTCTATTCCTTGTTGTTGTCCTCTCATTTCTTTGCTATTGGAGCAAGTTCCAAGTGATGAGTTCGTGGAAGCCTTGGCGGATGCTCAAGGGAACTACTGTGTATGCTAAGTCATCAACGGCATCAGAGGCCTTTGCGTCGGGAAGCGCGAAGAGCAAAGGAAGTGAAAGACGCCTCTGCCTTCGTTCCTCACTGCAACTGCGTTATTGATCCAGACGTAGTTGTAGCATTCTTTACTCTTCTTTTAGGTTGGGTTGATGAGTGTTGATTCGCGGTGTGACGGTGTGACCTGCACCTGTGCCGTCTTCTTTGTTTAATAATATAATGCCCATTCATGATCTTGCGAGTGCGACTACAGATTAAGTGTTGTGCGGTGGGTGGAGCAGGACATGTGTTATAGCGTTATCTATGAGAGTCTAGGACAGTGGGAACTGTCATCTGTCTCGCTGCCAGGTTAGGTTACAATAAGATTAGGGATTCAGGGTCCTGCACATGATCAACATGTCGATGTCAACACTTGTTTTTATAAACAGCAATGGGTAGTAGACGGTCTCGAAAGACCTATGATCGATAATGACAATGAGCACACAACGACAAGCGGAGCGGCTCCCTTCAGCAGCGTAGCCCAGAGCTCGCGCAATGCGTATAAGTCGATGGCCAGTGTAGTTCGTGCACAACTACGAGGATATCTTCAAGAAAAGTTCTAGTTTGTACCACGAGAATACTATTGAGACAGATATGGGGGATCGTATGCGTAAGCGGGTGTTTTACATGATTTTTTTGTCACATGGAATTTTTAGAAGCATGTAACTAAGAAGTTGTTCTTGTACAACAATAAAAAATGATACAGTTGCACAAAGAAAAGGATTCATTAAATTTTCTAAATTAGAATCTTGTTGTGATGATCTTCTCATTTTTAGTGTTATCAAGTTATAACCTAGACTGATTCAGATTCTAGCTCGTTTAGGTCCTCCTGTCTAATTCTGTATTGACCGTATATTCGTCCCTGGTGCTGGTGTAGCTAGGGGTGTTGATTAACAGAGTTCTAAATCGGCCTTATCACCTTATCACAACACACACTAAATCTTCTTGTCAGTGTGCAAAGTTGCATCTTTTTAGTGTGCAAACTTACATCTTTGTCCGCGATTGCACTTACCGTTCTGAAAGTCCAAGCATGGTTGCACGAAGAGTTAGAGGTTGGAAGGTGAGGACCAATCTTCTGTCTTGCAGATTATCTCATGAAGATGACTTTCCACCTGCTACTTGAAAAGAAGGATCAGAGAAACAATAAATGCTTCTAAAAACAAGTAGATGATTGGCCAAGAATACTTCCAACGACTGTTCTTAAAGAAGATTGCCCCCACTGTCACTTCCATCTGCGCCTCGAGATCTTGGATTCCCCAAATCGTTGGCTCTATCCGCCTGTCTGATTTCATGGACGAATTTGCAGTCGGCGCGGAAACACTTTCCGAGTTGAAAATCACCGCAGAGGACCTTTTCATTATGCTGTTGTGAATGGGAGGATGATTGTGGTGATGAGGAAAAACCATGATCTCTGCTGGATCTTGATATAATGTTTCTCTGAATAAAAGAGAAATTTAAAGTCTCATCTTCAAACAGCAACTTCAAATGTTCACTTCCCAGAATCAACACCTCCTAGAAAATCAAAATAATCTACTCCTAGAAAGTCAAAATCCCCATACCTGTGCGCCTCCTGTTCTGCCTCCTCTGCGATCGTCCCGTCGATCGCGTTTGGTCGATGGCTCCCTTCCGACTTTTTGTCCGACACATCGATTCTTCTCGTCGAAAATGAACCTGGTAAGAAATTCAAACTTTTTCATCACCTAGAACAATTGTGGATCTATTCGATAAACTGAAATAAGCGAGTAACTACTTAAAATAAGCGAGATACTGAACAAGGAAGAGTAGCCCTGTCAAAGCTACTTACCTGGTGCCTTATTTCAGTCAGCAACTCGGATATTTTCAGTTTTCGAGTTGTAGGTAGAACTAGAACAACCTGTAGTACTAGCACAAATTTCCACATGACTTCTTCAAAGTACTATATCTATCTTTCTAAGTACTTATATTAAAGTTTAACTTCTTACCCTTGTCTTTCAGCCTCGTCTTGCGTCAGGTGGAGGAATCTGCAGCCTGGTCGAGTGCAGGTCCTTAAGCGAAAGTCTGCGCACAATTCCATACTTGGCGGACAAATCATTTCGTCTCCTCTTCCGCGTGAGCGGTCACGTCCTCCACGTCGCCCTCTACTTCTTGATCGTCGTGGACATTAGACCACTTTCCCTGTTCTAGAGCGTAAGTACTATAGGTTGTACCGAGATGACAGTTCACATCTTGAAAGTTGTACTAGGAAATAAGTACCCACCTTACAACTTTGATGTTGACGCGTTTTCTATCTAAGTACTTGGAGATATAAGTATACTGGCAAGCAAGTTGTAGATGCTTCCTACTAGGTTCTTTAGCAGGTAGTGAGAATTGATCAACTTGATTGATTTATTGATTGATGTGCCTGGCAAGAGGTCAATGTTGAAGAGTTGTTTATTGAATAGGGGGAAAATCAAGCCTTAACTACTGTCTCCTCGTCCTCCTCGGCCTCTTCCGCCTCTCGGTGCAGAACGCATGCTGCCACTTCGTGTGGAAGATGGTCCGCCAAAAGACCCCGAATAGTTATTGGTAACACCAGCGACACTGGAGATGATGTTTCCGATATCGTGTGAAAATTTGCAATTAGCGCCGCGCTTGCACTTCCCGTTCTGAAAATCCTTGCATATTTCGCGTTGTGCTGGACCACCCTGGTGTAGGATCATTTGTAGCATTTTTTTAGTGAGAGAGTGAATGGCTCCGGTATTTTAGTGAGAGCCTGAATTTGATCATAAGGGAAAACAAGAAGAGAACCCTTAGGATCAAATTCAGGCTACCAAATACCAGAACCATACAAAGAATTATGTGATATGTTTAACTTTATTAAGTGAGTTGTTTGTTGTAGGATCTTTATTCTGGGAAAAGAATGACGCGATACTACTAGTTAGTAACAACTATTAATTATACTATTTTTCTCTTAGAAGACTTAGTCTATAAGTTTAAGTACCCCAAGAATTGTTCCTCCCGCAATAAGACTTAGTCTATATTAGTCCAAGTACCCCAAGAATTGTTCCTCCCGCAACTGGTATGAAAGCACTGTTGTTTTGTTGGGGAGCTCCTCCTCTGATCGCTGATTGTCCGCCCACACCCGATGAAAAGAGTCCTCCTCCAGCATTGCTGATTCTTAGAGGAGCTACCGCTTGAGAGCATCTGCTTCTTTGAGAGCCGCGTCTTCCTGAGGCACTATTTTTTTCTACCTTTAGTTGAAAAAGAAGTGCCTAAGAAGGATGAAGACTGACACTAAGGATATTTATTATGCTCTAGCCGCGGCACTAGCCTTTGCCAAGAGGAAAAAGAAGTGTCCAGCGGGCAAGACGCTCGCAAGGAAGGTGCTCCAACTGCGGTAGAAGCCTTAACACTCCTCCGGGCGGAGGTTCGAAGTCGTCTCCTCTGTCATGACTGAATTTACAATTCATCCCTCTGTTGCAACGGCCCAATTTGAAGTCGCTGCAACGCTCTCGACCATATCGATCTAGTGATCTCGCTTTTCTCCCTCCATGGTCACCGCCACGATCCATGCCGCTCACAGAACTTCCGCGCCCAGGACCGTCAGTTGAAGTCAACAAAATTAGAGCTCGAAAGGATAACTTCATCTCTTCAAGTACTTTTTTAGATCCTAGGGAGGATACAAAGAAAGATGACAAAGATGACCCTGATAAACGTGAAAGTGAGTATGATGATGATTGGACTAGATTGTAGGTCCTGTCATGTCATGTAATGGTACCTCTTATGTAGCTATCAGTGTCTACTCGTGAGGCCAACCAGTTGGAAAGTACCTCCTACCCTACAGTAAAGTTTACCTTCAGTCACACGCCCCGCAGTGAATATGATGAATTATTTTGATGACCGCAGTGAATATGATGAATTATTTTGATGAGCCTTAACAAAAGATTATCCTCGCCCAACACTTCTCTGCAAACAAGGTTGCCGTTTTCATCAATTTCGTCTCCCGCATCTAGATCCATGTGGATTTGCTTCTCCGTGCCAGAGGGATCGATAATGTCGTAGTCCTGGTCGCCGCCAGTCAAGTCGAAGTCGTCGCTTCTCTTAGAAGTAGACAGCTAATGTGGGCGGAACAATAAAACGTAGGAGCTCCAAAAGTGAGGATCCTGATAAGTGAACAGGCCAGCGCCTAAACCACTAAGCCAACGCCTAAACCACTAGGCCAACAACGCCTAAACCAATAATAGATAGAAACTCACTCATTCATTCCTTCATACGAACCACGGTTGATTGATGCGCCTTAACGGTCTGAAGAGGAAACTCGAGTTCTGAAGCATCTATGCTGCCACCAAGATCACCGAAGTCGATACTCGTTGCCATCGGGTTATTGCCCACAGTGGAAGGAATCTGTTGTAATTTCGGAGGTGGTCGTTGTTGTGCACGCCCACGACTCGCACCTCCGGCTCCTATTGAGTTAGACCTTCCAGAAATCTCCCATCTTGATATTACTCATCTTGTTGGGCCCTTTTTCCCCTTACGCGACGGAGCTCCAAGATACACGATTCAAAATGGGAGATTTCCGGAAGTCTTAATTGAAGAAAGACTTCTCAAATTACCACTAGAAACACCTGGGGGTAAAGCTGCTCCTCCTTCTCGTGCTGTACTAGATTGATGACCTCCTCGTGCTGTGCCTCTTCCGCCTCTCGCCGCACCAGCATTACCCGGTCTAGTACTGTTGTTCAATATTTTCAATGACACATTCCCTCTCTGAGGTAACACTTCGGCTTTCTGTTCTAATCTTAGAGGTAGGTTTTTTGTGCTCGCTTACCCCGCTTGTTATGCCTTTCTCCCTTAGGAGAGGCATAAAAAGCGGTAAGAAAAGCACCTTTAACCTACCCTTAATAATCTGGCTTTTTGTGCTAGCACCTGTTTTCTCAGTTGTTGAAACAGGACATGATCTTCCGGAGGGTGGTAGCATCGGCAGTCGGTACCCGAGCAACGGAGTGGATCGATCAAATACTCCACGCACACAGACACCGACACGTCAGTCAGCACGTTGGAGTCTTCAGGATGAGCGGCGTTGCACTCGGACTGGAGGAGGAAACACTCGTTGTTCATAAACTTCTCGCACACGGCAACACATTTTTTTGACCGGTGCAAATTCCACTCTGGAGGAGCGTGAAAGAACCTTTATTTTATATTCTTGTTGAAAGTAGACACAGATAAAATATTTTTGGTTTATAGGTAGAGTTTTGGTTCCACTCTGGAGGAGCGTGAAAGAACCTGCTTTTTATATTCTTGTTTTGGAGTTGTAGTTGAATCGTTATACCGAAATCCGAAGTCTTTCTCTGCCTCTCCATTGAGGAATGTTGCGAGAGCCAGGAGTGAACCTTTTCATAATGTACTTGTTGAAAGTAGACACCACTCTGGAGGAGCGTGGAAGAACCTTTTCATATTCTTGTTGAAAGTAGACACCACTCTGGAGGAGCGTGGAAGAACCTTTTTATATTCTTGTTGAAAGTAGACACAGATAAAATACTTTTGGTTTTTTAGGTAAGGTTTTGGTTTCAAAATCAATATGAAAATAACGCGTTCTTCTCAACTCTCAATACATCGAAATGGATCATCGATTTTGTTCCAATACCAGGTAGTTTAGGTAAAAAAACCAAGTGATATCCCGAGACAGCTGACGTAGGTAGACGATGACGATCATGATGATGATGTAGATCTAAAAAATGCAGTTGTGCAAGCAGGTGAAGTTTTAGTACTTGCAATCTATCGACGTCATGTATGGTTGCATAAAAATTAAAAAATCCAACAAATAAGTAGTAGTTGTAGTTGTAGTACTTGCAGTCTATTCGGTTGCACGCGTTCCGCAGGAAATCTCCGCAAACTTGCACTTCACCTCGGATCCTTCTGACGTTGTCGTACATCTCCACATGAGCCCACTTGCAGGCAGCCTTGTCGCACTCCCCACGTTCAAATTGCCGACATATGGGCAAAGTCGGAGCGACCAATTTGCGGTCCGAGAAGGTAGCAGGCGTCATTTTTTTGTCGTGCTGGAAAGCAACCTTATAAATATATAATGCTCGTGATAGGGTAGTTCGTGAAGAAGATATGGTTTTGCTTACTTCTCAAAGATTATAAAGTCAAACTTGAAAGCCTAAATATTCATGCTGACAGCCTGTGGTCGTGGTGAACATAAAAAAGTAATACTTGCTGGTCCAACTCGGAGAAGAGAAGTAGAACTAGAAACAGAGATAGTACTGGATCAACAATATCTATGGTTCAACTTTAATTAACCTAGAGGACTTGATGTTACTACTTTTTTGCGTTTCGCTTGCTTCTAGCGCTGTTCTTTCCGATGCATGCAGGAGAATTCCGAAAAGGGACGATGAGAAAAAACGTGAAAGAATGTGATGTTTAGGCCGCAGCAGTTGCGCCACCTGGTGCTGCTCTATGATGTTGTTGAAAATGAATGCTTGATGCTTCTGTTTGATGGGCACACCAACTGCGTCAACGACTGACAATTCATGATAAACACCAACATCCTGTGAAAATTCTAAATTGTCGTGATTGTCGACCCGCTCCTGAGTGTACTTCTGTGTACTAATAATAAGATGTGATGCTCCTTCGATCTTCTTCGACATCATGCTTCGACCAGATGCGTTTTTTTCGATCGTTGTGCAGATGTGGCTATAATGATTATGATCAAGTTCCATGTTGAAGAAAATCGAAATCCACCAAGAAAGAGCTGACTAAGACGCATCAGAACAAACGAAAGCTCGCGTGTTGTTCACGACTTCTTAGTGCGGAAACGAGAGAGGAAGGGAAAAGTCCTCGTCACAGGAGCGAGCTGCATCTGCATCTGGTGCAACATGAATATTTATAAAATCAGATTTTTCACATTCACCAGTCGACAACGACACTTGCCAGGGGATTCCACAACATCGAGTTGAATAATTTGTTATTCCACGACCATCATGATCCATATAGTACATTCCATATTGGTGGTATGGAATTTCGTTCTCCACCTCCACCTACTGTGCTGCACGAAAAGACTTCATCAGGAACATTTAGATCACTTGATGTCTTTGCAGGAGTTGATGACGTAGAACTACTGGTCAAGAATTTTAATTTGTTATTTCTAGATGTGAATCGAAGACAAAATCCACTCGGTATTGAAGTAGATGACCTTGACCTTGATGAAGCATAATTTCCATTTGGATTACTAAATGAGGAAGGCAGATTTCGGGACTTGAAAAGCTGAAACGAGATGCAGAGATACGCCATCAGAGCTGGTAGCCAGAACACAAGAACGCTCCGAGATTTTCCCAGATAAGGATACAACTGCTGGTGCTTGAGGATGCCGTTCAAAACTCGAACAGGAGCAAAAACCCATTTTGATGCTGTCGTGCCCGTGCGCGATGGAGGACCTGCTTCTATACAAGATGACACTCATTCTTTCACCTAATACATAGGAAGTTGTCAAAATTCTTTGTGATGATGCGCAAGTCTCCTATCATGCTCCTTAATCTTACAGTGTTCATCATGAGGTCGTGCTATCAGCGTAGAACTACGGAAAAAAAAGTGCGCGTGAGGATGCGTGTTGACATCGTGTATGATTAGATAGTGTTTCTCTATTCGACATCGACTTCGTCGGTATATTTCGCGTGTTAGTTTGTAGATGAAAAAAAACTCACGATTCTGTCTAGAATTTCACGACTTATATTAACTTAAGCACTTGAACAAGACGTTGAAGATGATCTGTCTTGAGCCGCGTGAGAAAAGAATAGTGATGCTTGATTCACTCGGAGTGCTGCACCCCCTGCACCCGCCCCTTTGCATAAGATGATACCACCCTCCCCGTCCCCCCCCCCACATGGTACTAAATCGATACTGCTTCTACGACCAGATGAAAAACGAAAACGTTTACGATCTCAACACCACTACAACAAAATAAAAATCCTCACTTCCACAAGAAAATCACAGCGTAGACGTAGAGTTTCTCATTGCTGCACCATAGGAAGACCTCCTAGGTCCGCGACCCCCTGATGACGGACAACTATCATTTTCCGCCTCTAGATGCTGTGACACACCCGAGAGATCTAGATGTCTCTCAACATCACTACTAGCAGTCGTTGACGCTGTTGTAGAACAATAATCTTCAGGAGATGATGTACTATAGATCAATAGTCTTCTCTTTTCTTCGACAGTCGTACTACTTAGATCTTCTTCCAGAGCTTCCACTTCTCTAGTGGAAGAAGTAATAGTTCTAGCACTATGATCGTCGTCTCCATGAAGATTATTACATCCAGAAAGATGATGGGTACTACTAGTTAAGGGTCGTGAGTCACCTTGTTCCTCCCGTAGGCCAGAGCCAGAGCCTGCCGAGACGAAGTAGAATCTCGTAGCCAGAGCCAGAATATTCGCCACAACGCCGCAACCATTTTGGACTGAGATAGTTCTCTGCTTCAAATACACGACGCCTTCTATCGTCCAAATGATACTGCAGATCAGCGTGCAAAGATTCATCCAAACACTGCCCATCAGGGAAACGTTGCCGGTGGCGAACACCTGGATCATAGAGCAGTGTGTTAATACTTCTAGATCATAGAGAAGGCGTTACTTCTAGATGATCATAAGAGTGTTCTGTTACTCCTGGAGATTGATCATCTAGAACAGTTCTAGATCATAGAACTAGAAGTGTTCTAGATGATCATCTAGAACAGTTCTAGATGATCATAGAAGTTTTCTAGTGAGTACTTAAAAATAAGTAGGTGGCGAACACCTGGAGGTTGATCATAGGAGTGCTGTGAGTATTTAATAAGTAGGTGGCGAACACCTGGAGGTTGATCATAGGAGTGCTGTGAGTATTTAATAAGTAGGTGGCGAACACCTGGAGGTTGATCTTCATAGAAGTGTGCTAGATGATCATAGAAGTGTTCTAGATGATCATAGAAGTGTTCTAGATGATCATAGAAGTGTTCTAGATCATAGAAGTGTTCTAGATCATAGAAGTGCTGTGAGTATGTGGGAAGTAGTAACTAGTTGCTACTACAACTACTTACAACCAAATTATAGGTTAGTACTACCACTATAGATACTAAGTCTAAGTGGTGCGTAGTAATGTAAGAGGTTATACTAAGTACTTTTATAATCAATTATAAGGGATGAAGTTGTAGTTGTACAGAGAATAACCTTCTCGATAGTTGTAGATATCGAAGTGTTCTTGTGCAGCTGGGGATGATCATAGTCATAGTGTAGTCCTAGTGAGGGAAGTTGTGATTGTCGTACAACAAAGAAGAAGAAACTTGAAGAACTTCTTGATGGTAGAAACTTGAAGAACTTCCTGAAGATGGTTGAGAGAGAGATGGAGTCGTGAGTGCTCAAAAATCCTTTGCTTCTATTTTAATGAGAATCAGATGACAGAGACACACACACACACACACACATCGTTCTCCTCGTTTAACAAGTATTTTCACTTGTGGAGGAGGAGGACTCCTCCAAAGTTAGTATTTTAAGAATGATAAGCGGATGACAGTGACACATAGAAGTACCTCCCTGATCACCACGAGCGGTGAGGCGAGCAGTGCTATTCCAACGACGCAACCGATGTATCCTAACAGCTCAACCTCCTCACGCAGGAAAATCGCTAAGACAGTTACGACGCAAGGATTAGAGTCTAGTAGTTGTAGTCCTTGATTGAATGACCTTACCACTTCTAGAACGAAGGGAAGGTTGAACATTTATGAAAATACAACTACTAGTACAGTACTAATGATCTTCCATGATCCATAAAAAGTACACACAGCTGTACTCGGTACTGCGCTGCTTTACTCGTGTCCATCCATCTGGGATACAAGGCCATGTAGAAAATGCCCAGGATCAACCCGACTCCGTTAGTTAGAGGTTTCCTCGACATGGTATTCTATTTCAGGAGGACTTCCTTGAATGTCCCCGGTATTTGGTACTTAACCTGAAACCGATCACAAGGGAAAACAATACATATTTATACTTACAATGTGGAGGTGGAGCTGCATCATCAGCATAAATTAGGCACGATCACAACTCGATCCTTGATCTGAAGACCGAAAAGCAGCCAGACAAAAGACTGCAACGTCTGCGACGATAGTGGCAATGGCGGCATATCAATCTTGTGCGTGTGCTGTCCGGTGGAATTGATGTATGCAGGGTAGAAAACTGTAGCCGGTGCGAGGAAAACGACAAAGGGGAGAGATTAGAGAAGTGCTGTGAAGGTATAAGATCACTCACCGAATAGAATGACTGTACTTTTTCATTGTGGGGGATGTACATGAAGGAGCCTCTTGGCAGGTCTATGAGGCCTCCTCTCCTTATTCTTAGTTGAAGAAGTTAAGGAGAGGAAGCCTCATACACCTGCCAAGAGGCTCCTTCATGTACAATTACATCATGACGAAGGGAGCAGACAGAACTATCACTACGAATAAAGTCTTTACAACAGTCTAAAGAGCAATTTTCGGAACTACTTAAATCATTTCCCCTGCTGGTGCATTTTGCTTTAAGAAAGTCAACTCCCCACGACGGTGTAATATCAAGTAATATTTTCTGTAACAACAAGTCAATACCCGTGGTCCTCGTGGTGATTGATTGATTGATTGATTGATTGATTGATGTGCCTGGCATGAGGTCGATGGTCCAATATATAGGTCGATGGTCGGTGTATTTGTAGTTTCTGTAACCTCGTGGTGTACGTGTACTATTTAGTTTCTGATGTAACGAGTACAAGGGAATACAACCCCTGGACGTGGCGCCATAAATATACATCGCTCCAAGGTCTAAGGACATCTTGAACAATTCGGGTCCGGTCATCCCGAATAAGCCTCCCTCATCAGCCGCTGTAGCGAAGTCCTTATCTAAGACTTGCGTCATCATCTCACTATTGAGAAGGAAACGCTTCGTGGCGAAGCCTTCGCCGGATGCGGTCCTGCTTTCTTGGACGACCATGTTTTTTTTAATGTTGTTTTTGGTAATCAAAATATAATTCGGGCAATGCTTATGTTGACGTTGAGGACTTGCTTCAGTACCATTAAGTGCTTGTTGGGTCTACATCTTCTACATTTTCGAATAGCAGCAAGATGAAAATTCTTTTTGGTCTTTGATTCTGTCACCGAATTGTCACCAGAGTTTAGAAGCATTAACATAATTATGCTAATAAAAATAAATATTAATACCCAAGATCATCTCCTTCTCGTCTCACTCTCCCACTCACTCCTCTCCATAACTAATTTTCATCATTGCTGCGGTCCACCGAACAAGTCGAGTTTTCACGACGACTAGGACAACAACCGATATAATTGGTGTTTCGAAGCACTGGATTAGACGAGACTGACAACCGCTTCTCCTGCAGCTCTACTTAACAACCGAGCGACGCTGTCAAGCAGATGTCTCTAGTTCAGCATCGCCAAACATGCCCATGATCTCAGAAAGGAGCTTCGCCATAAAATTCATCTTCGAGTAGTTTAGTACTCACGGCCTACTTGTTCTCATCTACATCTACTAGTACCTTTAAATTAGTACTCCAAGTACGAGCACCTTCTACGCGGAACAAGTACGACGAAGTAATTGTACATCATACAACCTTCCAAACTTCTTTTACTGAATACTTTGTTGACCATGTAGTTGACCTCTCTGAACACATATGAAAAAACAATCTACGTAAAAATCTGATGTACAGAATATTAGGCCTCCTTTACCAAAAATACCAGACGTTTCTGTTAAAAAGCCTATGTGCCTTCCGTACTTCTAGACTTAGCAGCAACATTACAATAGAAGTGGTCGTACTAACTAGTTACGCCCATTTTTATCAATGATTCATCTATAATTTCAATTTCAACTTTACACACAAACTCTATTGAGTCTCAGACAAAAACTTCACGAAGGAATAGTATTTCTTGCTGCAACCTAGATTCTTCACAAGTTCGAGGGAGAACCACAACTCTTCATCTCCATCCCTACCACCTGTACCTTTATTCACTGGACGAACCATCAACATCATTCGCGCGTAAAAACAATATTTATACATACGAGTTTCTGTCACGTTTAAGTTTGCTGTCGCGCAAATGCAATGGAAACCTGTAGTTAGTACATAGTCATTCACATTCATCACCCAAGAAACGACCCAATAGACTCTTGGCAATAGGTAGAAGTCTCATAACTGTACGACATACTTGTAATGTAAAAGCACTAGATCTACCTCTATTCTTGTTACAAGTACACTAGTACAACTTCTAGTTTTCTAGAAGTTCTACAACTTCTAAAACTACTTACAAACAGTTTGAAATCGAGCTCGAGGTTGATGAAGAAAAAGGCAAATTTCGAATGATTCTCTTTCTCAATTTCTACTACCCCTACTTTTTCTAAATAGATCATGTCTGAAAACTCTGTCAACATCCAAAAAAGTCAGTTGTTGGTTCATACCACCTACTTCTCGTTTTTTCTCCTATTTCATCTCCTTATTTGCAGCTTCTTATTTGATATCCTCGTACGGCTAGCGATACTACTACTTCTTTGAAAGGATAAAAGTAGTACTACAACATGTCTCTTACTCTATATTCCTCGCACGTCCATTTCCGCGTTTGAGTTTCATCACTGTGCTGTGGTTTCGCTTTTTCGAAATTTTCGGTTTCTTGAGGAGCATCTGAAGAAAACGTGCCTCGGGTCCTCGTTTTTTTGACAAATCCATCAGCATCACGCGACGTCGGATTGGCTCTCCACTCCCTTTTTTAGGAGCAACCGTCACAGTTACGAGTCTCATGTTGTTACCTTGGGCTGGTACATGCCGGGAAGCTTTCACCTTCATGGAAGACATGGCTTTCTTCATCTTCATCATTCTTGGAGAAGTTTTTTTCATCATTTTCTTCGACGCCATCATCTTCTTCATCTTCATGGATAGGTGTTGACCTTGACGCGTTTGTCCTTCTTTCTTCCCTTCAGCAGCTGCGGCGATCTCCATTTTCTTCATTGCGATCCTGTTCTGGATCGCAGCGAGCCTCTCTTTCAGGGAAGATTGATGAGCAGCAGGAGTACTACGAGCGCTTGTTTTGGTTGACGTAGAAGACGCCGCAGTACCTTCCATCGTACGTCGTGTCTTACCTCTGACACCCTCCATGGCGTAGCGGGTTCTGCCTCTAAGGCCCTGAAGTGTTAGACGGCTTCTGCCTTTCAGGCCTTCCACGGTGCGGCGACTTTTTCCCTGAAGACCTTCGATGGTGCGGCGACTCTTTCCCTGAAGACCCTCAACTGTGCGGCGACTTTTTCCCTGAAGACCTTCGACGGTGCGATGGCTCTTTCCTTGTAGACCCTCAACGGTGCGGCGACTCTTTCCCTGAAGACCTTCCATGGTGCGGCGACTCTTTCCCTGAAGACCTTCGACGGTGCGATGGCTCTTTCCTTGTAGACCCAGCATCGTGCCACGCTCTCTCATCGGATGAACCGCTGCGGCTACTGCATTCTTCATTTTCATAGCCCTTTTCATCTTCATCATCTTCTTCATACCAGAAAAGCGTGTTTTCATTTTCATCTTTTGTACTACAGCAACCAATTCCTTCTCCACTCTTTTTAAGGTGGCAGCAGTACTAGAAGCAGTCTTCATCTTATAAGCGCCAGCCGCACTCTTGTTGCTCATCATCTTGCTCGCCTTCTTCGCTTCCACCATCTTGATCATTTTCTCGAGAGCTCGAAATTTGTTTTCCACCATAGCAGCTTTCATCTTCTGGTTATTCTGTTTAGCTTTTTTCTCAATCCGATGAATCAAGCCCAAAATCCGGAGTCGCATCATCTCGTGCTGATGCTTGTCGTCTTGAAAAGGAGGAATAGAAGAAGTGGATGCTTGGGGAGACGATGTGGACGAAGAAGATGTTGTGGCCGAAGAAGATGTTTTAGCAGTTGATGTGGGTCCAGGAAGCGTGATCTTTCTTGCCTGCAGCCCTTTGGCTTTTTTAGTAGCAACAGCAGCAGTAGAAGTTTTCAGCATTTTCTTCATTTTTTTCATGGAAGCAGTAGTTTTCTTCATCTTGCTCGCAGCTGCTCCGACACGACGCTTGCCCTTGTTCATGTTCTCCACATACAAAACAAGTTCTTTATCTCTCGGTTGTCTTTGGTGTTGGGTAGCATAGATTTTCTTCACAAGCGTATCAATCTGGCCTCTTCGCTTCGTTTGAGCTCGGTTGAGCAACAAATGTCGTTCTTGTTTTGCCCCTATCTTCCTCACCAGAGCGTCAATCTGGCCACGACGCTTTGTTTGAGCGCGGTTCAGCATCTTGTTCACGTCTGCATTTTTGCCGATTTTCCTCACCAGAGCGTCAATCTGGCCACGACGCTTTGTTTGTACACGATTCAGCACACTGTTGAACTTCGCGGATCGCTCGATATTTTTGACCAGAGAATCGATTTGGCCACGACGCTTGGTCTGAGCGCGAGTGAGCTCTGACATGGATTTAGACGTAGAGCCACCAAGGACTTCCACATCCGAGGAAGTTTTGTTCTTTTTGATAAATTCCAGTGCTTGTTGCTGTAAGAGTTGAATCTGCTCCTTCAGGGATGGACGGTTCTTACTTGGTTTACTTGCTTGATGTTGTTGTTGATGTTGTTGGTGTGTTTTTTTGTTCACCTTCTTCATTTCGGCCATGTGTTTAGCAGTAATGCGTTTCACAAGTCCGTGCAAGCGCTCGCGCATGTGTTTATTCTCCGAGCGACGTGCAATTCCTTTATTAGAGCTCACACAGCCTAATGATCCATCTTCTTGTTGACAAGCAGCATTCTGTTAGTTCCTTTTTTCAAAGATCGATAACACTATTCCAATTCCGCTAGAACTACAGGCTGAAGCCTCTACTACTTCACCCTTATCGTTCTACCGCTCTTCTATAGAAGCTCATACTTACACTTTTGACAAATCATTTTAGTAGTTCCTGTTAGTTATTCTAGTTTCAAGAAACTTCTTGATGAAAAATAGAATGACTTCTCGTTCTCGTCTCACGATCATGGAGGAAAGCCTTAAGTTTAACCAGGGTATCGATCCTTTGTTTGGCTCTCTTCATATCAGCTCTTGTTTCTGCGGCAGCTAGACAGCGGTGAGCGGTAGTCTCCAAAGAGCGTTCCAACTTCATCTTGGAGGTCGTGTGCTCGATCTGTTGATGTACGTAGTAGATGTTTAGATGTAGATGTTGTTCAAGCTATTTAGAAGTTATTGTTATTTGTTGTTTCGAAAGAAATTCATTAATAAGTGTAGATAATCAAGAAGAAGAAGAAGAAGAAGGTGCTGTCGGTTGGAAGGATGGTTATAGTGATGACGTTGAAGCAGAAGATTAGCTTAGGTTATGGATCCTGCACAACGAGCCCCACCGGCAAAATCAATGATTATGTTGAATTCAAAAATTCGAATTTTCGAGCGCTAATTATATACCTTCTTCGTCACAGTAGGCGCATTTTTCTTTCCCGCTGCCTTCTTTGGCAGTTGTTTTTTAGCGACCGCTGTTTTTTTCCCGACCGTAGGTTTCGACGCTTTCGCTTTTCCACCACCGCCACCTCCGCCATTCTTGAGATGCAAAGACACGCTTGTGATATTGCTCGTTTGCGGTGCGGTGAGAATGAATCTGCCACCTCCTGCTCTAGTAATCGGAGTGCTTAACTTTTTCGACTTGACACGATATAAACCGGTTCCCGATATGCCCAGAGTTTTACGCAATTTCGCTTTCAAGTCTGCAACATGTTTGCGAGCAGCGAGTAAGGTTTTCTTGTCAATGTCGGCTGTGGAAGATCTTCGTACTTGTAGGACCTTATTATTGGAAGTGGTCGGTCCGGCTTTCGGTTTTTTCTTCTTTGTTGTACCTGCTTTATTCCCAGATCCAGATCCACGACCTTTCTTATAGGAAGAAGACACCACAGCAGACCGCTTTTCCCATGACTTGTCTGAAACAATCACGTTCTTCATCGTGCTAGGAGTAGCGTTGGACGTATTAAGATTCGAAGCATTTGCGTTGGACGTAAGTCCGAATTCCACCAGTGGGGTTTTCATGCCTTTGGCGAGACTAGCACCAGGAGGCATTGCTGACCCCAACCCTTGGCCACGAGAACGATGGTCTTGGGTGGCAGAAGCGAAGAAGCGACCTCGTTGGCTGCGCCCTGCACGGGCCATGGCATTACGAAAAACAGACAACATTTTGGTCGATGCAGTCTTTTGAGATTGAGGAAAATATACTTTTGTTTAGTCTGCTCCTTGACAATAAACGACGACCCTGATAATTTTTTTGACTATTTTCTTTGCATGCAGTTGTCACCAGTAGTCTGGAGTAGTAGTCTGGAGAAGGAGAGATGAAAAAATGCAGCAAAAGCAAATATATTGAATGATTGTTTTTTTGCACATGAGAGTTTAATATTCTTGATCTTTTTCTATCAACATCTCAATAAACTTCGCGAATCAATGGAAAATGCTTTAATAGGTAAATGGATAACCAATGGAAATGCAGGGGGCGAGCAATGGAAAATTCTTTAATAGGTGGTAATGGAAAATTCTATTTTTAGAGGGCGGGCAATGGAAAATTCTTTAATTATTTATTAGGTAAACAGATACAAAACGTCGTCTAAAAAATTATAAAAATGATCAACATAAGCCAGCTTGAGTTTGATTCATGTTGAATAACCTGATAATTTGTTGGGATGATAGAGATAGACATCAAGGAGAAGATCACTTTTTTTGATCGCTCACCACGACCTTGCAAATTCGTCAGAAGGCGTTGGCTCTCTCAATCACAGAATGTGTTCATTGTTTTATGAGAATCTTCGCTCTTTGTACCGACGTATTTTTAGCAGGGGAGCCGGATTCACTCGGTGTACAATGCAATTATACGATGAATCTCGCACAGAGATCTGGTGTGCAGACCAGCTGCACCAGATATTTCTCAGTAATCACATATACATTCACAGAGGATACACATTCACAGAGGATACACATTCACAGAGGATCACATTCACAGAGGATCACAATCGACTCTTTATTTTCTCAGACAACAGATTCAAACTCATTCATTCTTCTACCTAGCAAGATGAAGGTCACACTGCCTTCTCGAATGATGATGATGATTGTACCCAATGATGATGACGATGATGCTGATGATGATGAATGACAGATACAGAATCTATCTCGCACAAACCTTGGTGATTCTATTTCTATCATTCTGTGCAGAAAGGCAAGAACGAGAAGCACTGCAACGAGGCCTATGACACAGAGTGGTGACATGATTGGCCTAAGTAACGAGAACAAAAAGAAGACCTTTCTTCGCTGACGTTATTTTGAGGTCGAGTTATCTTCAAATTGATCAGAAACGGTCAATCACGGAGATCACGACATGATCACGACAAGACGAAGGTCAAACTTGTGTTCAACAACCACGACGGCAGCTGCTAGTTTTTCGGCACTACGACATGTCATTGGCTCTCTGTAATTTTTTCCCAAGCTAGTATTAGTAAAAATGAATTTACATGATCTATTCCCTCTTTATTTTTCTATCCTTATAAACACTTACTAGTAGAGCTAAGACAAAATTCCATATTCGCCAACCTTAGTAGTGGCATGGTCTGATCTACTTTGTTTATGCTTGTCCTTGTATCCCGTACCTGGTATGACCAGTACGACTCGAAGAAGAAAATAAACTACCAAAAGAACTATCCATATCAAATTCAACACTACAAAAAAAGGTAAAAGAAGACCTGCCGATCATGGTCCTCATCACGTACCTCCACGACTAAGAACTCTAGTAGACCTTCAAGTTCAAAGAAACACGTACACGACTAACAAAAATAACAAAACAAAGATTGATCATCTTAATGATTGATCGCCTTAATCTCTAGTACGAGTTTTCAGACACGCAATTCTACTTCCGTTTTTTTTTTTGAAAGATAAAAAAAAGACGTTAAAAACAATGCTATTTTGTTGCTTACCTAAGTAACATGCAAGACTCACTTGCTCGTACTATATGAAGATCAACGTCAGGACAGAGGTTCAACTACACCACCCCCAACGGCTGTGGCCACTTTTTTCCCTGTGTCGGAATGCAGGTATATTGGAGGAGGTCGCACTATTGCACTCTTCAGACCATCCTCGACCTCTTTCCTGCTCTTGGAGTCAAGCAGGAAAAGAGATCAAAGAAGGTAGTGGCGGATGCAATGTGGCAACCCTTAAGTATAGAAGTCTTGCCATCGCTCGTTGAAAATCGCACAGCGTTCTTTGTTGTCGAGCCTGCTGTTCGTTCCAAAGAAAGGCGAACGGGCTAGTCCTAGCGACGTAGGAGCAGTCGTCTTGATAGCTGGCCAATAGGGAAGATCTTGCTGTTGTCTTACGTGGTGTTGTCTTCCTTGCAGAAGTTGCGTTTGCTCTCGTTCTTTCGTCAAGTGTTGGGCAAAGTAGTCTTGTTCTCTTGAATCGATCCCTGTGAAGATTGTCGTAGCATTTGCCGTTTTTGATGTTTCTTCATCCTCTACATTTATCACTTCTCCGGAGTCGAGCTCTGCTTGAGTACAATAACTCGTTTGATTTATTGCGCCTCGTCCTGTTTGATTAGCCAGACTCCGCGGGGAGAGAGTTTTGGCTTTCAACCGCTTCCGCGGGGCGCCAGTACCGGGATTGAACATCAAGTCAATCGACGTGGGACTTCTCAAAATACCGGCGGAAGTAGAAGATGATACTTGACGATCGCCCAGTGTAGTGCTACTCGCTGATCCACTTTGGCCATCGAGACGAGAAAGTTCGTTGTCTTTCATCGTTCTCACTTGTTCAAAAAACGCATCTTTACTGGTGGGAAAAGAGGTCCTTCCTCTTCCTTGACCGTGTCTACCAGTATGACTCTCCTCCACATCTCCTTCGTCTAGTCGTAAATCACCTAAACCAGCGCAGTCACGCGCAGTAGATGAGCCACGACTACACTCCTCTGTTGAAGAGGCTAGAAAAAAGCCTACCCCAGAAGCAGCGCTTCCGTTAGAGGTAGGGTCTTGGTGCTTCTGTTTCCCGTTTGTTCTGCCTTTGTTCCCCCTTAGCCTGAGGAGAGTCCATCTTCGACTACTTAAAGTAGCCTTTTTGTAGGAGGAGAGGCAAAACAAACAAAAAAGGCAGAACTACACCTTTGATAACACACCCTTAATTCCTCTACTGAAATCTTCAGGATGGGGCAAAAGAGCTCTAGCGGCCTCGAGAGTTGGCGAGGTGACTGATCCTGCACTGCTGCGAGACCACTCTAGACCACAATTACCAATGGCACCCGCGCTTCCGCTTGGTTCTGAAGAATCCTTTTCGAGTTCCACCATAACAATGTCCGTATCTCCGTGACCCTGAAAACCGCCATCATTGCTGAACAGATTTCCCCATTCTCGATCGGTGTCTGGAGAGCGCCTCTTTACACTGGTGGTACTGGAAACGAACGCTGAGTTAGAGGCACTGACAGCCCATACTCTTATTTTAAAGTATGAGTATCTACTTTATTTAGTACTCGTCAATACTATTTTCCAATCAAGTAGTAGAAAGCAGAAACTGCCTAAAAGGTGCTGCAGGAGATGGGTTGACGGTACACATAACCGAGGATGGGCTAGGTGACCGGCTTAGGCCACGTACGGACGGCACAGGTGAGACTGTCGCAATGAAAGTACTAGACCTCGAGGAAGTTCTAGGCGTTGGCTCCGCCTCAGATGTTCCTTGGCGCGTTGAGCTCGTTGTACTTGAACTTCCTGGACAAGGTAGTTGTAGTTCTCCTGTTCTTGCTCCCCCTCCACCTGTTGAGACCACCATATCTACAAGAACTCCTGGTGAGCGTGTTCCGGAACCTGAAGACGCCCCAGCAGAGAAAACGGCTGCTTCTAGACCACTTGTTCCACCAGAGGTAGTAGTTGGACACGATTCGCCTCTTTTCATCACTGAATCTTCTCGTTTCAGGAACAACCGCATCACAGTCAGACGACGTAGTCGGTCACGTTGAGACTGATCATGTTCTTGTTGGCTTTGTTCGCTTCGAAGAAGAGCGCTATGCTGCTGCGTGCGCTCTTCTTCTGTTGGCATTCGTCCGATGAAAATGTTATCTTCTAAACTGCACACTTCTCTTTCGAGTTTCTTGCGCCAACGATTGCGTTCCAGCAAGAAACCAAAACCAAAACTAGATGAACCCTCTTGTTGATCCCGGGATGTTGAATACGTGATTTCCAACGCCTTGATTCTTTCACTTTCGTCCTCCAAGTCTGCTGCCGTAGCAATCGGGTACAAAGACGTAGTTGTAGTTGCTGCCCTTGTCTCCGCTTCTTGCGGTTCTTCATCTAGATCCATCGCAGTTTTACCTGACTGAGGTGGAGCATCGTCTTCTGCTGGAGGACCAACTTTATCTTCACGTTTCGAATCACCACCATCTCCATAGTTCGGATCGCCACCGTCTCCATAGTTTGGATCTCCTGTTTTGGCAAAGTTTGCCCAATATTTCAACATCCTATAGGACAGTTGCCGTTTTCGGACGTCGAATTTCGAGGCGTCTTCGAACAAAGGACCGCTCTCCCAGCCGTGAGGTACTAGGGGAGCGTAGTCTTCGTCGTCGTTGTTATTAGAAGAGGGGTAGGTAACAAGGATCCATATGTGTGTTTTCTATTTCAGGATCCATAACCTAACCTAACCATCTTGAAGAAGAAGTTCATCTGGACATCTGCGTGCCTTTCTCTTCTCGTCTTTTTCTCTCCATCAGATGACTCATAATTTGAAGATGATGAATATGAATTCCCTGCACTCATAATGTCATCGAGGTAACCGTATTCGAAGACTTGGACGCCTTTTTTGGCCAATTGGTCAGACGCGTACTCGGTTGGACAGGTGTATTCCCAAGCTGTGAACAGGCGTTCCGCTGCTGGAGTTAGATCTTCGAATTACCACTCAAAATGCTAGCAGTCTAAAAATTCCTACTCAAAATGCAATATGCGAAACTTGCATGCGAAACTAGTAGCGGCCATAAATAGAACCAAGGTTTGTACTCTCGGTATTCAGGATATTTCACAGGATCCACCAGCAGCGTAGGTCTCGCTCCACTCGCAGGATTGTAGAGGTAGTTCGGTGGAAGCTCCTTAAGGGTTTTCGGGACAAAGGTAGAAGAAGTTCTAGTAGTATTAGACCTTATCCATCGATATTCATCTGACTCGGAGGGCATCTTTGACCTACTTTTCCCCTTGAAAGCACGGCAAAGATGCCTCTCAAGATGAATAGAAGTAAGGCTTAGTAGTACCATTCTTTGTAGGCTGCACTTCAATTTCTAAACTTGAAGTTGGAGGAGCCGGAGACTCCAGCTCATGACTCTGTTGCTCTTGTTGAGTTCGTTGCTCTTGTTGTATTTGTGCTTGAACTCTAGGATCTCTGAACGGATTGTTCTGCTGGATGGGTGCTTTTGGTGCACTTTTTGATGCTGTTGGCGTATATGACGGGAAAAAGTGTACCCACATAGAAGATACTCAAAAATAACGTAGCTCGATGGATTTAAGTAGGAAAGCACAACAAGTACTAGCTAGTACTAGTTCTTGTCTGAGTATAAAAATGAGTACACTAACACTCAATTTTCCTGTCATAATATTCTTGTTGTAGTAGTTACCATTGACCTTGAAGTAGAACCACTTGGGCTTGATAGGTATGGATATGAACCACTTGTCCCTGATAGGTATGGATATCCTCCTGCCTCTGGAACAAAATCCTTTCTCCTCGCCAATATCTCAGGATCTACACCAGGATTGAACGCTTCAGCCAACTTTTTCATGATAGGAACGAGCCATTCCCCATTATCAACTGTTTGCCAGGCCCATTCTGCGTAGGTCAAAAACCCTTCCTTTGCGCGTATCATTAGACGTCGGAAGGGTCAAAAACCCCCTTGCTCTATATAGATCTTGAAGAGGCTGAAGCGCATCTTTTTCTCTCTTTGGAGGAACCGTTTCAAAGTATAATAGTAGTACTAGGGTACACAGTCAAGGGATATAGAAGACAGCACGTTAATTATGCATCCATTTTCTTGAGTAAGATGCTTGCTTCTACTTAACATGAATTTGAGGGACAAGCCTTAAGATCAGTTGGGCCCAAGAAGCTCCTCGTTTCGAAGATGACGTGGTATTGGCAGCAGAAGATGAAGCAGAACCAGTAGTTTCTCTCTGTGGAGCAAAGCCCCTCAAGAATATTGGAGGCATACTCTCCTGTTCTTCTTGAAGGATCATCCCTAGAGAACAAGAGATCGATGGACGACTACTGGAAAGAACCTTAACGATGGCGATCCTGAACCGTCTGCATCAGCATTTGAAGTATCATTGGCACCACTAGCATCTCCATGATGGGAAGACCCCCCTCGTCCTCCGCTGCGAGGCGACTCGGAGGAAGAGCCGTGAACTTCAAAAAACAGATTGGCGCTCCCTAAAGCAGTGACTCATACAGTAATTCTAATTTGAATTTCTTTTTCTTCCGTTCTTCGTTATAAATATTTATAATCATTTCGATTTCCTCAGAGAATCAGTCCTGAGATGAAGGAAGCAAAGAAACAAAACGACATCGAAAGGAGACAAATGAATCATTTACCGTTCTTTGAGCCTTAAACAGAGGCGGTGGTCCAAGAAAGGGTGAAGTAAAAGCAGATATCTGCTCTTGTCCAAAAGCTCCAAAAATTTGGTGATGTTGTCCTCCTCCTTCAGACTGTATAACCTCTGGGCCTCCTGCTTGTGGACTTTTTCCACCGCCTACAGGCGAAGACGCATTAGATGAGCTCGCACTTACCACAATCAATTGATCAATGGTTCGTCGTGTCGTGGGCGATTGTTGTAGTCGTTGGCCTTCGGGAGTTATTTCTTCCCCTTCGAGAGTAGAAGTTTGAGCTAAACCCAAACCCAATGGACGAGGTAGAGAAATTGGAGGCTGTTCTTGACCCAACGGAGGTAGATGGCTGAATGGAGGTAGAAAAGACGAGGCACCTTGAGAAGTAGGCAGCTGGATTCCAGGCATTCTTGGTTGAGCATTGTGACTCTGTTGGAGTTGTAGTTGGGAGTTCGAGAACGCTCCTGCGTCAACACTACTCTCCTGCTGGCGAGGACCTTCTTCATCCTCTTGTCCCTGAAGTCTAGTAGTCGTCCCACCACCACCACTGCCAAGCAGAGCTACACGACCATGCTGGGAACCACCACCACTGCCAAGCAGAGCTACACGACCATGCTGGGAACCACCACCACTGCCAAGCAGAGCTACACGACCATGCTGGGAACCACCACCACTGCCAAGCAGAGCTACACGACCATGCTGGGAACCAGCACCACTGCCAAGCAGAGCTACACCATGCTGGGAACCAGCACGACTACCCATGAGAGTTATGATCCCATCATCATGAGGTCGTGCATGCGAACCACCACCACCAGTTGCTTCTTCGACTTCTCCCATGAAATCCAAGCCATCGTCTCTCGTATAGCCATGTAAAACAGGTACATTCTCCGGAAAATGTTCGCCCGGAATCCCAAAGGTCAAAATTTCTGGCATACTGGCAAGCAGTTGCTCCCCATCCACGAGGAGCGAAGAAGCACACCCAGAGAAGCAAGGAGTGCCAATGTCTAGAGAAGCGAGTTGAAGTTCTGTTAATGGCTGCGGTCTAATATTATTATCATGAAGAAGAAGATTATCAACATATTGATCATCACGACTTGGACTTCGTGTTTGATGTTCAACATCTACGACGCTGAGGGCTACATCTTCTTGGACATGTAGTTGTCCTACATCTTCTTGGACATGTAGTTGTCCTACATCTTCTTGGACATGTTCTCTGTCACCATTGTTATGGGTTTCAGGAGCCTTCCCTGTGAGAATCCAAGTAGCCATGCATTCACGTTGCTGTTTTCGATCAAATTTTCTGTCGGGATGGAGACAATAGGGAGTAGTAGAAGCTTTCTTCGTGCTAGACGTTGTTGTCGTTTGCTGGGTCGTAGACGTGGCTGAAGCCACACTAGGAAGATCTCTTCTCGGTTTAGATGCTGCAGAAATCCATGTTGTCGAGCAACCTGGTGCCCGTTTCCCCTCGAGCAAACGCGGGCCCAAGATGCTAGCTAAGACGGATTTCTTCGAGCGGCCTTAATGGGCGATACTGATCGTCTCTGGCTACGACGCAATAGACTTAGAGCTAGAGGGAACAAATACAAAAAGAAAGACCCATGACAAAATAAAGAAAGACCCAACATGATGATCTCTTAGGTTTAGAAAAACTACGTCTTTTAGACTGTCCGATAGCTGTTCCAAAAGATAGAAGATGTTCCAAAAGAGAAAGGTGGATAGTTGATGACGATTACTTTGAGACACTTAGGAGTAAGAGTAAGTACCCTTAATCTACTTATAATCTTAAAGTACTACCCTGCTTAAATAATCTACTTATATATAATCTTAAACTCAATTTTGTCCATTTCATGAAGTCTATCACGACTCCTGGCTAGTATACCAGCACCTAGTCAGTGGGTAGTTGATGACGACGTTAATATTGTTACTGTTGGTGGAGCAGACCTAACTAGAAAAAACAAAAACCGAATAAAGAAGGAAAGTCAATGTCAAGCGAGTACGTTAATATTCATATACCCTTAATCTTGTTTCCTGTTCTTCTTGATGCAATTCCACCGCCTTTTCGTAGAGATCCCGAAATTGTTTCTCTCCAACCTCCTCAAGAGGTGCGGTGCACCAGCCATTGAAGCCACCCGAAGACGCTATAACACTGGAAAAAAGGCCAAAGGAAGGAGGACTGACGAAATGCGCGGTCGCCATACAAGCACCACTCGATTGCCCGAATCCTTAGCGCTGCCCCATCTACTTCTAATTCAGTATTCAGTTCAGTACTGTTCGAGCGTCTTCGAGGGTATGATGAATATATCTATTCTAAGTATACTCCTCCCTCGCAATTACATTAAGATAGATTGATTTACGGGTGACGTAGTTGAGGGAATCGATCTTCCCAGTAAAAAGTATAGATTTAGATGAGGGAATCCAGTATAGAAGAAATGGATTCCTCGACTTAGACGAGGTAGCTTTAAGAAAGGACAACGATTATAATAGCGAGACTTTTAAGAGAAGAGACGAGATATTAGTATTTATAGGGTTAGCGATGGTTTCAGAAATCCTTAAGGGAGACGAGATGATAGCTTTATAAGAAGAGACGAGGAAGCTTTAAGAAGGACAAGGTAGCTTTAAAAAGCAGCCTTAAAATAAGACAACTTTGTTCCTATCGCCTCCGAAGTGATGGATGTGTTTCTGAATCCACTGGAGAGCTAAACGGGAATCGAGAAGGGAGAAGTTCGCAAAAGGACTGCTCAAGTTAAAGCTCAGCAGTCAGTGGTCACTGATTCTGAAAGAAAAGGGCCCTAGTATGCCTCTCCCTTTGTATGAAGCCAAAATCTGTTATCATTATCGTACTTTTCTACTTAAGAAACTTGATAATGATAACAGATTTTGTTCGTTTCATACTTTGCTTTCCCTTCGTTGTAACCGGTTCTCTCACGGGAGCCCCTCTCCGATCTCAGTGGCTAACCTCGATCAGGTGACCAATAAAAGCTGAGCCTTAACCTCCGCGCCACTTCTTTTAGAGGTTGAGAGTTGGCGTCTCTAGCTCGCATATCTATGGCTTTCCTACTTGAAGAAGCCATAGAGATGCGCGTAGAGATATCAGCTTCACCAACCCTTAATGCTTGATGAGGTTGAAGAAGTTGAAGACATACTGGCACCTGCAGCTCCGATTTGTCCTCTCGTCCCACTTGTTGCACGTTCTTATGAATAGGTATATCCATTATCATTATCTTATCACAACTACTCTTATAAACTTATTTTCAGTTTCTTCAGTAGATCTAGATGAACAATGATAAAAGATTTTGGCTTCATACCACTTGCACGTTCTTGAGTCCTTCACTTCCAGCATGCCCCAAAGTACCAGCACGAAATTGTAGGGACACAAAGATCACCTTCTCGCCAATCTTGAGAAAATTCTTCACCAAGTCTGTGCCCTCGGTTTGCGCACCATCTGCGAAGCATGAGCCCGTGAAATACACGAAAACTGGAACAAGCGAAGAAGACTTTATGTTGTTTATGTTTTTTGATGCAGCTTCTGAATTAGAGCGACCACGTCAAAAATGTATCCTTATATATAAATATCCATCTTCCCTAGGGTTGTAGGCCTTTTTTCCCCTTGAAAAAGAAACCTAGCTGGATCTGGGTTGAGGATGCGTCAGCGGTAAGAGCCTTAATTGAAGAAACAAAGGTAGAAGACGCACTAGAAGACGTTCCTGCCTTTTCCTTCGTGAAGAGGTCAGCCTCTTGATCTTGCGCAACTTGTTCTAATGGCGCGGTGATATCCACTCGTTAGAAACATGCACACATCGTTATCATCCCGAAGACAGAAACTGCGCGGAAACTTTCCAGAAACTATAAAAACCTTTTGGCTTTTGGAGGGCCTCAAGCCAGAAGATTTTGGGAAGATTCGGGGAAGTTTCTCGTCCCTTCTTCTTGGTATTTTTCACTCACGTGGATCCAGGCACATAAATTCGTAGGCAGTTCCGACTACTGGCCTGCTCCTCGTTCTGCTGTTCGCCGTTCTGACAGGGAGTGCGATGATCGATCCCATAGAAGGTGAAAGTAGATGACTTCTCTGAAGATGGAACCCCCAATTGATCGTACCTCGGATGTTTCGGCCCTTGAAACAACTCAGCCTGTCCGAAAGGAATATTAGAGGTTGAGCGTTGGCATCTCTAGGTCGCATATCTATGGCTTTCCTACTTGAGATAGCCATGGAGACGCGCATAGAGATGCCAACTCCCAAGCCTTAAGAATACCACGAAAAGTCACTACTTCATTTAGACCTTGTCCTTCATATGCTGCGACATAGGTAACTGCTGCAAGGCGTGGCTTTACCACGACACTGCTTGAAGAAGATGTTTCTTGTGTCGAAATGTGATGTTGAATCTCCTGTGGCTTTTTTACCACATGATTTTTAAGTTAGAGCTCGCCCTAGCACGACCTAATCCATCTCGCGTCCATTTTTGGCTCTTTTTCCCTTTGAGAAGCCTTTTGATGAGGATGCGTCCGAAGATGGATAATCCGATTAGGGGAAGCCTTAATTGAAATCATGATCATCTTCATTTGTGACGGTGACCACTTCTCGTCCTGGATAAAAGAGTACTTTATCCACCGTAACTGACACCGTCTTTTGCTTCTCCGTGACAGTGACCAACAGGTCTGTTGGGATCTGGTAGTACGTTGTCTGCCTCTGCCCATGACGACCGCTGTAGTTCTCATTAGATCTAGTAAGAAGAGAAATCCATTTCGAGAATCCGCATGTACCTAAAAACGCATCTTCCTAGGATCCTTAGGATTCGCATCGACTTCCTAGGACCCAAGATAGGGGATCCTTTCAGGATTTGGAAGTGATGCTCCTTAGGATCGCTGATGAAGGTCGTTTAGGGAGATTTGATGAAGGTGGATTTCCACCACCAGAGTTTTCTTGTTCACCAAGAGCACACGAACTTCGTAATTTCAAATCTAACAAGCCAATGATCTCCTTGTCTGTCCTTCACTGCAGGTGCTGGAGGGGCCAACTCTTCCAATATCCCGGGACCCAACGCAACCATTAGGGCCTACATAATGATCCTAATTCCATAATGGACTTACATTATGACCCAACGCAACCATTAGGGCCTACACAATACATAGTGAATAATTGGAAACCGCAGCACAATAGGGAATAAACGGGTAGAAACCATGAGCATGATCCTGATTCCCGTTTATTCTTTCCCTGTTGAAAATAAACGGTAGGATAGGACAAGATCTGCTCTATCTAAAATAAATTCATGTACATGTTCCTAAGGAGGAACCAGTAGAAAAATGCCAGCAGCAGGTGGGAACAAGGAAGATGCACTTAATATTGCTATGTTTGTAGCCCTAAAAGCAGGATGTAGAAAAAATCCCGTGTCAAGCCATTTTTCTCTGCAAGAGTCACACTGTCACGGACGCGAACCGAATTGCCGGGTTCGTAGGCTGATGTCGTGAGTGTGAAGCTCAATCGTACTCTACACCTAGATTTATCCTCGACTCACTTAATATAATTCACTCCTCATCTATTGTTCTAATTCTATTTCAACGACCCAATTGGGATAGAGGATCAAATAGAATTTAGGAGTTATCGCCTCACGACCTTCCACAGGGTACGCCAAGTTAGTAGTTCAGGGACCCATTTGCATTTAACAGATCTACTCCATCAAACAACTCATGTTCACGTACTTATTTTTACCTTGGACGCAGGTGTGGTAATCGTCGCCTCCCGTAGCACCGTCGCATCCATTGTGCGCAAATCCCTTTCGACAGCACATGCCGCGAGAGCCGCAGCTCGCACAGGGGCCATCTTTCTTTCCGCAGTCGATCCAGCAATCATCCCCAGGATTCAGGAGCGTTACGTTAGAGCTAATCTATCAGTCAGCCAATCAATCAGCTAGCCTCCGCAGGGCACCTTTTTTTTTGTATTCCGAGAACGCCGAAAGGGTGATCCCAGTGTTGTCCGGTGTACCTGCCGGCGGCGGGTGGAGTACATTAACCTTCTTATACAACCACGCACTGCGACTAGTATTATCTCGAGAGCCTTACATTCAAGAAACCAAGGTTCTTTCTAACAAAAAACAAAAACTAAAAATGAAGTCAAAATAAAAATGTCTTCAGGGATGTTCATGTTGAGGACGGACCACCTAAAGAAAGAGGTCTTTCAGCAACATTTTGTTGAGGTAGTTGTTGTATGTTGTATGTTGTTGTACTTGATTAGGGGAAGGAACAAGTGGCCTTAATTATGGTGCCGAAAATATTGGTACTGGTAGTCGTTTGCTGTTCGGCTGCTTGTACCAGCAGAAGGGCCGGAGAAGCTCCACCAAGCACCACTCCGAGCAACACTAACAGCCGAAGAGGAGACCAAGGTTTTTTATGATGAAAGACCCACATGATCGCGAAAATGTTCTTTCGCGGTGATGTAGTTGACGTGGTTTGCTGGCTTCTTTCTTGCTCTTGATGAAAACCTTAATAATCTGAATCAAAATAAATACTAAAAGAAACCTCTACCTATATCCAAGAAACCCTAAGCCAGAAACCCTGAGAGCATTTAAAAGGACATAGTGAAACCACGCCACGACTATCAATACACCCTGATCTTGTCTCTTCTATACAACGTGAGCATGAAGATGTGGCCCCCACGATCATCGCTAATCCAAGATGTGTACCACTACAACAAGCTCTCCACGTCTACCACTACAACTACAAGCTCTCCAGACAGAGACCCGACCGATTGACGTTGACCAGGGATCAAGAAGCGCAGGACATGGATCAAGAAGCGCAGGACATGGATCAAGAAGCGCAGGACATGGATCAAGAAGCGCCGGACCGAAAGCAAACTCCAAAGAACTTGACCATGAGCAAATGATCACACGTACCAGTGGTTCCGTAGTCAAAGATGATCCTTCTCCTGAGCTCAAAATTCAAAAGACAGCAACCTGGAGCGCCAAAATTTGCCAACCTGGAGAGCACGCCATCAGAGAGAACTCGCCAAGGCCGTTTCGCCGAACACGCGGACCGGACAACAACAAGTGGACATCGACGCATTTTTGAGATTTTCACATACTCATACTATTCACTATGACAATCAACGATGGCTTTCGGCCAATGTTTCGCACAGAGGGCGACTTAAACTTATTCATCATCTACTTATCATTCGCGTTTAGCATTAGAGGCAGCTAGCATGTTTCGATCTTTTCTGAACTCGGGTAACTCAGACTCAAACTCAAGCCGCTAGCCCTGTATCCCATTGCGGGCGTAGTCTACATTTTTGATATTCTGCGGTAATATGACTATATGCTGCTTCCCTTTTAGCCACTTAATTTAGTCGATTAATCACCTACAGACTGGGGGAACATAAGGCCGCACATTCGGCCGACAATTCTACAACTATTTTAGGGCCGCACAGTCGACCCTTGCAGAAAACCTAAGGCGCAACCGGACGCAGCGGGGCCCCATGAGCAAGTCAGCACACCTGCAAGGGTATGATGCGCCGCAAGGCTGATGGCTGATTTACTGGCTTACCTCCTACTGGATGTTTTGCTCTTTAAGTAATCAACTACGACTAGACCGCACTAAACCAGATAAGCAGTCCTGTACTAAACCTAGGCGCAGAGGTCGGAAGTGAATAGCGATGGAGTTTTGGGATCTTGACCAGTGAAGTCACATGCCACGCTGGTCATCTACAGCGCGGAAGCTCAACAAACATATAGCGAAGCGGCCTGGTGAAAGAATGAGGTTGGCAATAAGTGCCCGCAGTACAGAATTAGAGCCTTCCCATATTGGTGGACCTACTGCAAAATATACTCTACTTCGCTAGAATTTTTGCCTTTGCGTTCGTATACCCATTATTCCTTCTGCCTCCTCTAGTGCCTATTATTCCTCTCTCCTAACGTAACAGCCTATTCACGTAGCCTCCACGAATCATGGCCCGGTAAATCGAATTTTTCCCATCGGTCACCGGGTGGGCAATCGAAACGCGAATTAGAGCTGAGAAAGGTCTTCTTGCTGATCGTGTCTATATTATGTAGCTAGTGGAGGTAGTTGTCGCTGTAGCTGTACTACTTGAGGACGAGTTAGTAAGCACATCAAAGAACATGATCAGAAGTTTTTTCTTCTTGTAACTCATGCTCCTGAAGATCATGCTCATGCTGACAAGGTTCAGAAACAGAAATACATTTTAAAAAAACAAGTGGCTATCTATGAATGTTCCAGGGGTGGGGGCCTCCGCCTGTGGATGGAGCGGCGGTGGCGTCCGCGGGCGCGCCCTTTCTTTCGCGGTGGTGACATTCATGTAAGGACCCACGGGGGGAAAGGCCTCAAAAGGCGGAGCCGGAGGCCCCTGGCCGCGGCCCTCCGTGTGTACCCCACAGGCGTCCCGCCTCTTGGGCCCTATCAGAGCGGGGGACAGACTGACTCCGGGAGAAGAAGGCTGCCGAAGGCGGCCACGGTCGTGAGGCCTGGCCCCTTTGGCCCTCATGGGGGGCAGCAGGGGCCAAACTCCTCCAGTGAGGTGTAGGGCACATGCAACACGGCAAGGGGGTCGCGTCAAGCCTTGCCACCTGCTCGCCGCCCTCGAAGTCCCTCCACCGACCCCCCAAGAAGCTCCCCCAGTGAGGAGCCCGCGCGCGGGGGGTCTGCAGGGTACACACAACACGGCAAGGGGGTCACGCCTTGTTACCTTTGCCGCCTTCAGAAGTCTTCCACTTCCGGCCGTCGGTGCTTGAACGGCCTCAGGGGTTTCTGTAGGGTACACGCAAGAAGCCAGGAGGGCGCGAAGTTTGGCGTTTGGAGGCCTTCCCGCCTTGCAGTCCCTCGAAGAAAAGGGTCCGGGGCTGGGCCGCCCCCCCGCAAGGCTAAACAAGCCAACGCCCTAGAGCTCTTAACCCACTAGACGCTAAGGCCCCCCTTCCTTAGTGGTGCTCCCCTCTTGCGGTCCTCCTTTTGCGTCACACACTCTGTCACGCTCCAAGCGAGCCCGAACCTTAGGGTAAAACATGAAAAAACCATGCGCGACGCGCGTCACGCTCCATCCCCGACCCTTACTTAGGGTGGAACATGAAAAAATTACGCGTGACGCGCGTCACGCTCCAGAGCAGAACAATATCGCGAAACATGACCCGGCGACGCGTGACGCGCGTCACGCTCCGAGGCAGAACAATACCGAGAAACACGATCCGGCGACGCATGACGCGCGGCCCACTTCCAAGCAGAACAGTACCGAGAGACATGGCCCACCTGTGCGCCCGCCAAGCCATCCGCCTGGCCCTTGCCTGGGTGTTCTTGTCTGTGTGTTCCTGTCTGGTTGTTCTTGTCTGGATGTCCTCGTCTGGCTGTCCCTGTTTGGCTGTCCTTGTCTGGGTGTCCTTATGTGTGTGCCCTTGCCTGCCTGTTCTTGTCTGGGTGTTCTTGCCTGGGTGTTCTTGTCTGGGCGTTCTATCTTATCCGGATGCTCTTGCCTAGGTGGTCCGGTCTGGGTGTTCTTGCCTGGGTGTCCTTGGGTTCTTGTCTGGGTGTCCTTTTCTGGATGTTCTTGCCTGGGTGTTCTATCTTGTCTGGGTGTCCTTGGCTAGCAGCTCTTGTCTGGGTGTTCTTGTGCTTGTCAGGATTCAATAGCAAGCCCCCGCCCATGAGCGAGGCGCCCTCCAAGCGCCATGCCCTGCTCCGCCTTTCCTTTTCCGCTCCTGAAAACCACGCGCGCGGCCCGCACGTGGCGGGCCTGCCTCACTCCCTGCCGGCCCGCGCACGTCGGCGGGCGGTGCGAGGCATGGCTTGGGCGGTTTCCGATTGGGCTCCCATTCTGCTCCAAACATCTCGCCGCATGTTTTTCCTCGAACTCCGCGGGGGTCACGCGAATCCCCCTAGATTTGAATGGCCCCCACATAGTCCTAAGAAGAAAACCCACCCCACGACAGCCGACCGCGCACGCACTTGGCCCCACGCTTGTTGAACCGCAGGCCACTCCGCTCGTCGGGCTGCTGCTCTGTCTCTCACCGTTTTCAAAATGATGAGGGAGCCAGTCCGAAAACCACGGCCCGCCCTCTGATCACGAGCCGCCAGCCCTAAGACCGTTGGCCGGGCTGCTTTGTGGCTATTCGCGCCCCTCTTTGTTTCCTGGCGCACTCTCTTTGGGCCTGTGGTTGGGTTTGACCGTTCGCGCGCGGAAGTTCTGAGCGCCGCCTGAGGCGTCACGCGTCACGCGGGAGCCCCAGGGCCTTCGTTTTTCTTTTGTCTTACGGAGCCCCCCCAAGAATTTACACCGGGGGGGCCTTCAGCCCTGAGCCCTGGGACATATGATAATAAACTAGAATAAACGTTGAGAAGATACCAACTCAACTATAACATCTTCTACCATAACCAAAATACCACGGTTTTGCATTCTCAAGTGGGTTTTCTTCCGAAGGTGTTTTACTGAACTTGTATTCGGGATCCACGTCCGGAGCGTATTTTTGTTTATAATTAGAGCAGGAACAACATGTCTATTAGTAGAGAAAGTCCTTCTAGTAAATCAATATCCCAACATAACAAGCAGTTGTTATATATTGGAGTAGTTGTCTCCCGGAGCCTAGCAGTCACCTTTGTGCTGTGTCTCTCGATGCGCCCTACTCAAAATCAAAAATTCTAGCGATTGTATCTTTAGCTCATCTTGTTGTTAGCTGTAGTTCGTAGTGGGGGGGACGGATGGGGATCCGTGGTTAAAAGAATTTAGTTGTTGTATCCGCTTCCGCTACATGTATCATAGCTATACTTGTCGAAGGAGGAGGTTCCCTATAAAGGAAACTAGTGGTAGTGAGTTTGAGCAGGGATCTATAATTTATAGTTGAGCAGGGATCTATTTATAGTTGAGCAGGGATCTGTTTAATAAATACAGTACGGTTGTTGACATCATGGAAATGGACATGGATTAGATGAGGCCGCCTTAACGCTGCTAATCTTCGCGTCCACGACCTGTCCGTCTTGACGGAAGCTATGAACCCAAAATTTGTTATCATTATCACACTTTTCTACTTGAGAAACTTGATAATGATAACAGATTTTGGCTTCATAGAAGTGCTCCGAGTAGTACTTGACGATATGGGCGAGCATATCGGAGTAAATCCAGTTCCGCACCAGGAACGAGCTCGGCAACGTCCATCCTGTATTGATTAGACCTTTTCTACGTATTTTTGACTGTGCCAGTACCTATCATGTATATACATTAATGCTCACTACATCATGGAGGCGCTCGCTCCCATATCTGTTCCAGGGCGCGGGGCGACGCCCCCCCCCGCGCCCTGGGCCCCTTTTTGAGGCGTCTGCCGGGGGAGAAAGGCTGCAAAAGGGGGCCAAGGGGCCACCCCCGGCCCCTTCCAGGAGCTTTGTGTCCCCTGGAGGCCTGGGAAGTAGGTGGAAGGCCTCAAGGGGGGGCCAAGGGGCTCGCTGCCTCCTTCTCGTTTGCATGTTTGTATCCGACAGACTTGAGGGGTTAGATGGCTACAGACAAAAGAGGCCGCCGCGACCGCCTGCGCCCACCGGCAGCGGAAGGCCTCCGAAGACGGCAAAGGGCGAGGGGCTGGACCCCCTGAGCCGTGCCGCCTGTACTCCGGGCCCTTGGTCATCGGCTTGCTTGCTCTTGCGACCGTGTCCCTTAGGGACACGCTGGGAGGCCCAAGGGGAGGCCCGCGCCAAGTTTTGACGCCTTCCACCACTAGAACCCGCGAAAAATCCGCGCGGAAAAGCGCGCGGGCGCGCCACCACAGACCAGACCACAGGGGGGGGGGCCGTGCGGCCCTGCGTCATATATGTAACAGAGCAACTTGTAAGGTTTCACATCTCGCACGGCATGGAGTGCATGGATCACATGGAGTAGCATGGAGCTAAAGGGGGAGCTTCTTGCGCCCCTCAAAGCTCTGCGCTCCATGCTACTCCATCATGCACTCCATGCACCATGCGTGCTATAGCTATAAACTACTCTGATATAATTAACATGAATATTGATTGGAGGCGTTCTCGTCCAGCATGTAGTCCACATCTTCTAGAAACTACATTTTGAAGAAGAGCGAGGAATTAGAGTTAGAGAGATGCTTCGGTACTACTGGAAAGACATCTCTCTAAGAGTCGTGGTGGAATCCGCCTTAAATAACCAAGTGCTGCGTGCTTACGCGGGGCAGCGCGAGGGCCCCAGTCACCCAGCTCCTCCCCGTATTTCTCGACGACTCGCGGATCTTGCGTCTCCACGAAAGCCTTGATCAGATCGCACAGCTTGCCGTACTCTTCGTGCATGGGTGCCTGGCGACGACCAATCACGGCGCTGAGCCAAGTACTCCTTGGGGCATTCTTGTAGATGTGGTCGCGGATTTTGCGGAGCCAATCCGCACGTTCGCGCAGCCACAGCATGGGCACCGTAGTGCGCGCGGGCGAATCAGGGAACATCGCCACGAAGGTTACCCGAACGCGGCGCCCGGCTTCGATCTTGAAGTGTTTGTTTTCGACCGTCTGCAGGTCGATTGTCGCGACCGGGCCCAGTCCGTGAACGATGCCTCGATACATCACCCGCAGCAGGGCGCTGAGCCCCGCGATGTGGAAGGTGCGGTAATATTTCAGATAGAAAAGCTTGTAGCCGAAGAAAGGGACCTTTTCGTGAGCTGAAAAACCCAAAAAAAAAATCAGTAGCGTATCCGGCACATACGCCAGAATGCATTTCTTCACTCTGTCCTCCATCCGCTCGACCGGCCGCAAGAGGAGCGTCCCGCGCGTCGCGTCCGCAGCAACAGGAGCAGCTAAGCTCTTCAACGCATCTTGCAGATAGGTCATTTCATCCGTGGTGAAATCCATGGCGCGTGCGTCCCCGCGCTCGTTGTTTCCAAATTCCAGTGGACTCATTTTTGCGAAGTCAGGTGGGTTCCTGTTACGATTAGAGCCCGCCCTAATCTCCCATCTCAAGATAGTGCATCCTGAAGCGTGTCTTTTCTCCTCGAAAAGCAGACTCTCTTCTAGGATAACTTCTCTGAAGGTGGATCGGGGCAGCCTTATCGCGGAGAAGCCGTTCTCTGTTTTGACAATAATGCACCTCGTAGGCCAGGCAATTCCGCAACGCAACCGGGTCGAAGGGGCCTTTTGCTGCATGCAGCAAGCTGACAACGCGGCTGGCACCCGCAGACACGGCCGCAATCAACCCAGTGTCGTCGATGATCGCGCCGTCTCCCATCATTAGCGGCAGGCAAATACTATCCGGACTTGCTGAATAAGTGCAGCTGAGTTTTTACTACTTTCTTTCCCGTTCCTCCTTAATAATGATATCTTGTAAGTAAGTTGAAACTATTCCCTTTGAATCAAGGGTGACCACGCTGACAACGCTGGATATCAACTCCTCAGGACAGCACTTCTAATCTAGAGAGTGATTACTAGCCTTAACATTAAGTGGTAGTCACGAGTCGGCCAATCTGACAGCGATGCTTTTGCTGTATCCAGGTCGTTGTCGGTCAGGGCTGCCGAATTAGAGCTAGCACAGGAGCACTTCGCATAACAAAATTTCTATCGCGACGATGAAGATTTGAATTATAAATATTCCTAAATGAGCAGGAGGTCAAGGACACCTCAGTGTGAGGAGAAGCGTCACTTCGACAACACGAGGTAAAAGACCACACTGACCTCCTCAGTGTAATGAGGTCAACTACTACTAGTACAACATGAAGTAGATACATTATTACATCATCATGTTGTTGACTAAGTTTAAGTACTACAACACATGTTGACCACTAAGTTTAAGTACACATCATGTTTGGAAGTAGAAGGATCCGCCTTAAGTTGTGGAGCTTGTGAAGAGGGCGAAAAGTTTGGCATCATGTACCCACTGTTCTTCATGTAGGCCATCGCTTCCCTGGTTTTTCTGTATGCGCTTCTGCTCGCCACGTCATTACTTAGCTCATCAATATGAAGCCGTCCGCTGACATCGGGTCCGCTGAAGGGGGGTTGGTCCTGAAGCATTTTGATTTCACCCTTGGCCTCCACCAACTTCGTTTTGTGTTGGTCAACCTTCCACAAACCGAGAGCCCAGGAGGACATAGCCGATGCTTCGACCACTCCAACATTACCACTCCACGGGGCGCGCAGCCCCGTTGCCTCCGTAAAGTCCGTGGGAACGTTTAGCAGGTCCTTGCTCCAGCACTGCGAGTAGTCGTTTCCGTTGCCGCCTCGCACCAATTTCTGCGGGCCAAAGAGGAGTAGCGAATGGGCATCTTCGGATTGGACCGAGTTCACCCAGTCGGTTGTGCTGCCGGTCGAGGTCACCTTGTCAATTGCCGTAACTTAGAGTATTAATTATAATTTGCCTCCCCTGAGAAATTGACCATCGATCTTGAGCAGCTGCATCCTGTGGCCTTTGATCATCTCCAAGAGTTTTTTCTTCTTATCAAAAGGAAAATCCTGTTGGGGGATGATCTATTTTTAGTATGTGTATTACTTAATGAGGGAACAAACACATTGCCTTAAGTAACCGCGACGAAAGGAGAAGGACGACCCCTGACGACTGGCGGTTGCGTGTGCTGGCCAATGCCGTACTTCCTAAAAAACTGCTCGTAGACCGCGATGCCCCAATTTTTCAAGCTGCCAGTGCCCAGACCGCTCCACGAAGCCTCATACTGCATCTTATGAGACATCGTAGACCTAAAAATAGTGTGAGAGGACATCAATTATATATATCTTCATTTTGCAGCAGAATTATAAATATCTATATAATTATATATGTACTATATGTATCCACGATAAGGCACTAAAAAGTAAAAACCAGCAGAGCAAGACCAGTCACGAAAAATATCGGCTTCATGTTCAAGAAACTTCGTTAAAAAAGGTGATCACTAATCTCCGTATCGAAAAGTAGAGTGGCAGAAGTCCTAGTTGTATCTTCAATTACGATGCTCGACCTTTTGATGTTGCAGGTTGCTACTCGACGTTTTGCCTGACAAAAGTTAAGAACAAATAATGCATGAAGCAAAGAATGAAAAATAAAATTATATTGAAGATGAAGTACACAGCGAGGATATGGTAACAAGGATCTTCTGGTCCGTTCCCTCCAGGAGCGAATGTCCATTTTGGAGGAGTTGGAGTTCTAGACTGCGACGTTGGAGGAGTTGGAGACTCAGACGTTCTTGGACTTTCCGGTGGAAAAAAGTTGCAAAAGTTTTTGTTGTGCTCGTCTCCAAGCAAAATCTCACTGGACTGCATGGCTGCATAGGCGAAAATGGTTGCGAACCAGCTGGCTCCACTGTTCGCGATGACAGACTTTGGAATTCCCTTCGCCCCGACGTGATAGTAGACCCCGCGCGTGAATCCATGACTGGCGGTAAGAGCGCGCACGCCGCCTCCCTGCATTGCCCACACCAGTTGGTTTGCTGCTGCGATCATGGGCTGACCAAAGCGAGTTTCACCATCACCATCGGGACAAAGGGGCAGGGGCTCCCTCACGTCGCCTGAAGACGAGTCTGCGCCTGGTGTTGTGCCACCATTCTGTAGATCATTACCATTCTGCATAAGGGCCGCTGGAGCACTAGCAGAGCGCCTGGGGCTGGGTTGGCGGACCTGGTGCAGGTGGATGGCACCCACCTCCTGAAGAGGCATCGTCCCTCCAGAAAGCAGGTAGAAGAAGTGTTGAGGCCGCATCTTGATGAGTAGCATTTTCTTTCTCGTTTCACCTACTTGAGGATGATCTTAATGACGATGATGATGATGTTCTTCGTAATGACGGTGAAAGAAAAGTGGAAGAACTTTTGAATACGAGTAGATCAATGTTGACGATGAAAGAAAAGTGGAACTCTTCAATACGATTACATCCTTGTCGTGCTTCTAGCAAATCTACAACTTCCCTTTCGATTTCGTAAAGATACTAGAGGATCTCAGTTACTTAATTATATGTGCTCCGAAAATCAAGATCAACGTGAATGGTGATGGTCAAGCTTGCGGTTATTCGATTGAAATAACCGAGTAGCCGGGTGGGGAAAACGAAGTACTCGCCCGTGAAAAAAACGAAAAATAGCTTGACATTAGACGTATATGTTCTTCTCCTGTTGCAAGCAACTGGTGCCGCGAGGTAAATTGGCATTGTCACATGCATTGTTTAAATAATGAGGATACGGATACCAAACGTACGTGAATTAAATGAGAGAAAGTGCGCTACCAAAGAACGCTCTTGACAGAAATTTTCTCCTCTCCAGAGCCATTTGGTCTTTGCCTGACTCTTCTACTCACTCTTCGGGGGCTTCTCCCTGTGTCGTCAGACTTAATACAATAGTACACAGGATAAGATGCTGAACATTAAGCACTCTACCAGAGGCAATTGACAGACCTGGGACATTTACGCCTCACATCAAGTTCACTCACCCACAGTTTTCTTCTTACGCCTCATAGTACTCCTTATCCACCAACAGAGATTAAATCAGGTGGACTCTGTTGTCCTAGGAATCCACATTATAAGCGCAATCTTCATCTACAGATCATTTTGATCTTCTTGCTCAGGGTCAGGCTGAGTTCAATGATACCGACTGGAACTGCTTTGTGAATGCCCTATAACAGTAGGTAAGACATCAACGCTCAAGAACCTGCAGACTCCTGGGCGTGCTCCTGCATGAAACTACTTCTAATAACTATATATACGATACAAGGACGCTCGCCCCCCCCCCGTGGATGGCCCTGCGGTGGCGCTTGCGCGCTCTTTTCCGCGCTGCTTTTCGCGGGGTGGAAGGGGTCAAAACTGGGAGCGGGCGGGCCCTTGCGCCTCTTTGCAGGTCCCTGACAGACGTCCCGGCCTCTGCCGACCCTCGCAGGCTGGAGGCCTCCGGGGCAGAAGGCCGCCGAAGGGCCTCATCAAATGGGCGGCAAGACCTGGCAGGCCGATGACCAAGGGCCCGGAGGGTACAAGCCACACGGCCCAGGGGGTCCAGCCTTGCGCCTTTTGCCGCCTTCGGAGGCCTTCCACACCCGGCAAACTGCGGCGGCGGCGACGCGCCAGCAAATAGGAAGGCGGCCCCTTGGACCCCTTTGGAAGCCGTCCACCCCCCACAGACGCCTCCAGAAGGGGTCCGGGGATCCACGCCCCCCCATGCTAGGGGGCGGGGGGCCGCGACACTGCACCTGTGGAGGAAATTGTGGATTCGCTCCTCTCACCAGACAGATCCAAAGGACAATCGCGTTGATGCTCTCTTCTGTGTAGCACCAGACTGTCGCTTCTGTAATAGACTGTCTCTTCTGTGGTCGACATGCTCTTTTCTGTGTTAGACTGTCTCTTCGGTAGACACTAGAAGATAGCATGACCACTCTTCTTGACGAGAGGAGAACATGCGGATACTGTGAGACTTCATAAGATTTTCCTAAAAAGCCACTTCATCATGATGTAGTTGAGCTCCGATGCGACCCAGTCAACATTGTGATCATGATGTAGTTTACTTACAACACTTTATCTTGTCTAGTAGTCTCCTTATGGTCGTGGTAGCAGCAGGTTGAATTCATTCATGTTGGGGTACAACAAGGTCTCCTCAACAGGGTGAGGCTGAGGTTGATAGTTTGTGGTCATAAGTTTAAGTGCTGCGATACATCATGCTTATCAAACAGGATACAGATGTTGAGAGGACAACTGAACTGATACTGACAGCACCATTACAGCTATTGCCATGGTTCAGGAGCGAATAAAGTAGTGGACACTTCACTAGTGCATGCTGGAGCTGGTTGAAGCAATGCTATGGCTCCTGTAGTACTAGAAGGGACACAAGGAAGTCTTGGACTAGTACTAGAACTTCTAGGAGGGCCACGACCTCGACCTCGACCACTACGAGGACTACTACTAGCATAATAGGAGCTGATGTTACAGTCCGTCATGTACATGTTACAACTAGTATGATAGCTGTTATAGTCCAAGTCCATCATGTTGATGTTGGATGTGCTAGAACTAGTACACGACGCAGATGTACTAGTGTTGCTATTTCTATCAGATGTAGCTGTGTCAGGAGTCGTCTTCCAATTCGACGTCTGTGGAGATACAACAATGGTGGACCGAGTCAAAGGTGGAGTAGAGACCAAGAAATGATCTTCTTGTTGTTCTACCTGCTCCGCCATGACGGGACTGCAAGGTTTAGCTACAGTTGCTGTTGTTGTAGCGGCTCCAGCAGCAGGCAGATCAACAGCACGGTCGTGTTGAAGATGAGGATAAGCACTTGTACTACTTCTAGGGTTATCTTTGCGTCTAGATGAAGTTACTGTTGCTGTTGTACTACTAGGGTTATCTTCGCGTCTAGAAGTTGTTGTGCTGTGGTCGATAGTATTGCTGTTTCTACCCTGATGCTGTCCACTGCTGTTTCTACCCTGGTGCTCCTGCCCACTGCTGTTTCTACCCTGGTGCTGTCCACTGCTGTAGTTTCTACCTGTGCTACAAGAACTACTATGATCTTTCGCCTCAGTAGTACAAGTGGGAGTTTTTACTCCCCCGCCGAAGTAGTTACCAGTCTCTGGAGGTCTGGTGACACGAGCAGAAAGCTGCTCCCTCCGTCGTCGAGGTTGTTGCAGGGAAGCTTCTCGAGTACTAGAGGATCGCTGCTTGGAAGATCTCTCTGAAAGGCTAGGAGGTGCACGTCTCTCATCACGTCCACATTGCGTTGATATTTGCTTCAAACTCGAGGAGATCAAAGATTAGAGAACTTCGTCGACTTAATAGTTGTCGCAGAGCGAAAGCTTTTGTCTCTTTTTACTAGGCTAGGTTAGGTTATGGATCCTTCACATTAGGTTAGGTTAATTTTAATAGGTAAAGGTTAATAAACTTTAATAAGATCAATTACAAATTGATTACGTGGCTCATCCTACTGAAGTGCGAGTAGTTGTAACTTGATGATCTTCTTGATGTGGTTCTTCGCAACATCTTGTTTTGATAGGAAGAGGAACAATAGGCTCTTGACTTCTACGATGAGTGTCGTCTTCTAATTACACGAAGCAATGCTCGTTTGCCCTAAGTATGCTGCGAATGTAGTTGCAAATTACAAGAAGCGTGTGCTTCCGCAGGAACACGTGGCACTGGCGGCATTCGTGGCACACCTGCTGTTGTTCCAACTCTACTAGAAGAGCAATCTGACGTAGTTCCAGCAAGCTGGCCGTTCGGGTTTGTTACTGTTAGAGGTGTAGGGAATTCATCTCCGGGTTCCTCTAGTCTCGTTCTTCATCTTTGGAGATGAAGACTTTGGAGATGAATTTCCAATACTATACAGTGCCCATAATTCTGCCTGTGATACTCTTCCGAACTGCGTTGCGCTACCCTTGTTTAAAGCTCAGCACTCATTGGCCACTGACTCTGAACGGAAGCGACCTCCTTCAAAGCTCCCCCCTTTCCCTTCATTTATTTATTCCGCTGTTCTACTCGCAAGGGGAGGCCGCCTCTTCGATCTCAGTGACCAACCCCGATGACCATTGAAAGTTGAGCCTTAACTTGTTACGCGATATAGAGGACGTAGTTGGAGCTACTGTACTTGTAGATGTACTAGCTCCTGTAGATGGGACTCCCATAAAGATAGAACCGGGCGAACTCGAGACTCTGGCGGGTGTACAGCTTCGTCTTCTAGCAATACTTCTCCTTACACTGTCTTGGGAGCCTCTGCGGGATGGCGCATAGGAACAAGAAGGAACTAGCCTAGTAGAAGACGCTGGAGCTACCCTGGAAGACGCTAGAGCTGGAGCCCTCGATGCTGAGGGAACCCTAGACGCGGCCACACCGAATGGCGGTCGACCTGATACAACTGCTGGCGTGTGGGATCCTCCTATCGCTGTTTGAGTAGGTGTTCTTGTACTAGTTTGCTGCCTGCCATGAGCAAAAAGAAAAATATCTCTACCTGGTGTACTACCCTCACCTTGATGTTGCCGTGATTGATGCGTCGGAGTTAATACAGTAGATGTTGAGCCTCTACTGACGCCGGTGAAGGGAGGCAATTGCTGTTGCATTAGGGCTGTCCGACATAATTCATCTTTGCTCTGGTGTATCCTTGAAAACATGCATGATTCTTGAATACTCAGTCATACTCTTCAGGGAAACAACACTCAAAGATGAACTCCTACTCCCTTTAGTCTTAATTGAGGGCAGCAACGGGAAGACGTCTTTAATAGAGGAGCTTCAACCTTTTTAGTAGAAGAATTCATCGCTTCTTGTTGGAGGTGCTGTTCGACTTTATGTTCATTTTGAGAAGAAGAAACTTGCTCAAATGAAGTACAAGAATCTATTGTTGATCCGCTCAAAGAGCGTGGTTTAGTGTCCTGTCTTGCCCTTGCAGTGTCCTGTCTTGCCCTTGCAGTGTCCATCCTCAGGGTCCAGCCCCGCCATTCACGAAAGATCACTCGCGTCCTTTCACGTCTGTACCTCTCCACTGCACGCTGAAGCAAATTTTGAGTGATTGCAGCCAACTTTGAAATCTCCTGGCAACGGGAAGACAGCCATAAAGACCGCCACTCGTAAAAAACACGCATCAGAAAGACTTTACGTCGGAGAAACCGGAAAGAGTCGGTTGATCTTGATGTAGTTGTGCTTCTTGTGCCGACACCAGTCGTGACCTTGATGTCATCTCGTGTGCTGACACCAGTCGTGACCTTGATGTCATCTCTTGTGCTGACACCAGTCGTGACCTTGATGTCATCTCGTGTGCTGACACCAGTCGTGACCTTGATGTCATCTCTTGTGCTGACACCAGTCGTGACCTTTATGTCATCTCTTGTGCTGACACCAGTCGTGACCTTGAAGATGTCATCATGTTGTAGTTCTACTAGTTTTTGATGTTTACTCTCTACTTCCAATGATAACTCATCTACTTGTTCTACATCAACATCTAGACCTTCACCAGCTTCACCACGTTGAAGAAGATGTCGCTCTTGAAGCTCAGGAGGCTCAGAAGTTGTTGCACTAGCACTACGAGAGTTGGATGGTGAAGGCTTCTTCTGGTTCTGAAAGGCCTGCTTAGAATCTCTAAGATGAAGATCCTTCTTCTTAGTACAACTTCAATTAGATAGCACCCTTATCCATCTTGCGGCGCATTTTCCCCTTGTAAACTCACGCTTTTTCGTCCCCTCACAACTTCATTTAGATAGAACTCACGCTTTTTCCCCTTGTAACTAAAGCCTCTTCAGGATGGATGGTGCCTCAGAAGATGGATAAGCGTAAGGGGCCTTAATAATTCTAGTAGAAGTTCTGCAACAAGCAAATAGATCTTCTTCTTCTGGTAGTGCTGAAGTTGCTGTTCCATCTTGTGTTCCACCATGATCATCTTCAACAGCAGGTACTACCCTATGATCAAGGAGTTGATGACAGCTTTCCTCTAGATGGACAGGGGAAGGAGGGCCTGGTGTCGGCATCTGATCTCGATTTTGTTCATCATCAACTGTAGGTGCCGCACGGAGACTTCCTCCGAAAGCAGAAGGAGCTATACTTCTAGTACGAAGACCAACATGCTTCTGCCTTTCATCAGTATGCATCCTCCCGTGTTGACTGAGCCCATTCACGCGGTACTTGTCTTGACGAAGGCGATCATACCCATCCACATCCACACTCAGGAGGTTGAACTTGTCTTGGTGGCCAGAAATCTTTTCGGAAATCTCCAAAAAATGAGAATGTTGTCCACTTTTACTTCCAGTGGTTGCCGAGATTTCATCTTCAAGTGCACCGAGCAGGAGCTGGCTTCGGCTACCTTGACGAAAACTAGACTGATCACCATGATGAACATGTCGAAGACTCCTAGGACTATAGGTGCTGGAGGTGATCTCTATTTCATCTTGTTCTTCTGATGTGTTCTTTATAACAGAAGCGGCATCACGATCACAAGCAGAACGACGAGCATCACAAACGCCTACGCCTGCTCTTCCAATGCCGTCTCGTCCTCCACCTTTAGCGCGCTTAACAAGGTTTTGGTCCTAATCATGGTAATAGCTTGATTACCCGGTTCGTTATCCATATCCCTTTCCCCCTAATTCTTTCCAAGAAAGGCAAAACTACGAACGGGGGTACGAGGAGCCAACTAGCTACACGACCTAGTCAAGCCTACGAGGACCCGCAGGAACCAACTACAACAACACCTGGTAAAGCCTACAACGACCCTTAACAACTCCGCTGTTTGCGGCTAACAACCTCTCCTCAGGATCGGAGGAAGACGTTCTACGTTTGGTTTTTAGAGCTACACCCGCGCTAGGGAGCATCCACCCTGGGCACATCCACCTACTTGGGCCGCTTTTTATCTCTCGAAAATCAAAGGGCCAAGGATGACATTAATGATGAAAGGACTAGACAGGAGTGATCAGTTAGTCGGCCAAGGACGACATTTTTAAGGATTTCATTCATTCATTCACTCATTCATTCACTTACCTGGTCTTGAGGTATCTTTTGACCTAGATCAAAAGGTATTGCAAAGTGTACAGATTATTTAGTCGGATAGAGAAATTTATTTTACTTTGTTTACGCTCCAACTGAATATTTAGCCTTAATCTTGGGGGCGGTGTAAATACGAATTCAAACGGCGACGAGAGCAAGCTGTCCGCCTCCTGATGCGCTGTCGGAGCGAATTCAAACGGCGACGAGAGCAAGCTATCCGCCTCCTGATGAGGTGTCCCTGTCGTCCTCGTCGTGGTCACCTCCACGCTGTCTCGGACGTTGTTCTTATAATTCTTTGACGACATGATAATTTTTTGTTCTACAACTTTATCTTTTCTTGCTGGAGGTCCTGGTGAAGAAGATGTCATTTAATACTTAAGTAGTAGCAAGAACAGGAATATTAGAATTAGTTTAGTAAGTTAGGAGTCGTTGTACTATTTGGAGGAAAGCTAGGGAAAAGCTAGGGAATATTGCTTGTCGCTTGTTGTAGGGCAATATTTTCTTTTCTCTATGACCATGCATCGTGAAGACCAAGACCGACTGGCTTCTTTCTTTTTTATATGACCCTTCAACAGGGTCGGACTTTTTTTCTTCACACGACCTCCTGCCGCCAACATCCAAAACTACATCTGCCTTGTGGGTCCTCTTCTTAGGAGGAGCCCTTTTATTCGCCCTTTTTCTTGGAGGATCTCAACTTGCTCTTGGTCCTGAGCCAACATAGGATCCATCATGCTATCTTCAGGGAACAACAATTCATTCGCTACAATTCAACGCTCATCTTTAGCAAGCGGTTAAAACACAAGTTGCGTTGGTTATCCCACGGCCCGGAGAAGCACAAGAGCTTACTGAGGGTTACTTGAACCCCTTGCAGTTGTTGTAGAGCTGTTCAGGATATTTGCCATGAAAAGGCACTGTTTCCAATGACTCCAACAGAGCTTTTCATCAACTTTCCCTTCCATACTATTCTTGCCGATAGAGAATACAGTTTCTTGTGCTTCATTTTCTTAACTCAACATCGTGGTGGAGCACTTAACTAGAACTCATCTTATCTATCATATAGAAGGAAAATTTTTGTGTTTGGATTTTGAGTTTGAGTAAAAATGGTTTTCCGTCTATATATCAGGGTTATCTATTACAACAAGTCTTCCCACAGCAACAGCAGTACGCCATATGGATTGCAAAGTCAAAACAGTAAAACCCACGGAAAGAATGGCCGCTGCGCCAAGCCCAGCATCCCACAGATGATTTGGAGAATGCATCCCAAACGAATGAAGCAGAGCCGATACTCGAAATTCATGAGGACCACGAGGAGCACTTCTTCGAATGTTTGGATTTTGAGTGTGGAAAGGCTAGTGGTCGTGTGGAAAGGCTTGTCCAGGCCTCCACTCAAGAACATTGGACAATTTTCGACTGAGCCAACTTTTTGTACTCTTCGAACCTGTTATCAACCTCTGCCTCTCTCTCTCTCTCTCACTCGCATCCTTTGCGTCATATCAGAAACCTCACCTCTCTCCAAGTTTATTTTCTAGCTCACGGAAGTGGAAAATCGTCGTGGAACAGCTTCCAGAAGCTAGATGAATGGAACAGCTTCTCAGATGGAAATAAAATCATGAGCAACAAGAATATTAGGGCGGCAATTATACTTATGGTGAAAAATCATTGATTCTTTAATCGTGGTTGTAATGCATCATGTTCTTTTCATCCATAGGTCGTCCACTTCATCTCCCGTAGTGCCAAGGCCAAGCTTCCCTTTGCACTTGCAAGTCGACGCCGAAGTTCATCCCAAAAGAACTTCTAGGGAGCCTCAGACCAATTCCCAGAGCCTCAGACCAATTCCCAGGCATCCCCTTTAGCCTCCGCTTTCGCCACTCCTCCAATTCTCTAGAAGTAGAATCACCAATCCTCCGCATCCAACAAGTCACACAGCCTCCAGTCTTCGTACTCTTCTGCACCTCCTTGGCTCCTTCCTGGCAAGTAGCGCCGAATCACGTACGGAATGAGACCTTCTCGTAGCTCTAGTTCCGCGATTCTGGTCGCGTCGGTGCCTTCACTTCTAGACGGGTTCAGCATAATTACTTCCCCATCGTACTTCTTGGTCAAATCCAGCAGAATAGGCGCGTTGCTCTGAATCTGCAAGGTTCGTTGAGCCAATACGCGGCACTTCTCGTACTTGGTGAGATAGGGGGAGGACTTGTTTCTTCTCAAACGAGGATTCATACGCGGGTCTGCTGATGGCGGGATTTCAACCTCTAGTACTGTTGTAGACAAAGAAGTTGTGGACAAAGAAGTTGTGGAAGAAGATTTAGTTCCCGCTGTAGTAGCTGCTGTCGTAGATTTTCCCATCGTCGTCGTGCATGCATCGATGATGTCGATTCTGTTCTCCGTTCTTCGCGGCTCCCTCTCGCGGTCAGCTGGTGGGATCTCAAAGACTCGACCCATTTTGTGCTACGCAAGAACTTCTGTGCTATGAAGTAGAAGCAATGTCCTAGGAAATTGAAGACGTGTCCTTCTACGCCATTGAACCACTCGTGTCCTACGTGATTACTGTGACCGTGACTAAGACTGATGTCGTGAAAATAACCTAGTTCTTCTGCTAGACTTCGTTGGCGAAAAAACCTCTACAACTTCGTAATTCTAGTAGTCGTCCTGGAAATAAGGTAGTAGTAATGTTGTAAGAACTAGACTGCGGTCGATTGAGGATTGTAGAATCATCAAGGCCAAAACGAACAGAGCTGCAGCGGACCCCTACCTACATCATCTCGAATGTAAGAAGGACAACTTGAACTAGGAGAATGACCAGGTGAGAGAATCTAGCGAGTATGAGACCTCAACTAACGACAATGACAATGATCATCATAGGATCGGTATAGGATCGGTATAGGATAGGATAGGATGCCTCCATGGGTCGTGATGCCTGTTGAAATTAATCATCATCTTGATCAGAAATTCAGAATCAACGAAATCGTCGATCTTCATTCATAACAAGAGATCATGAAGCATTACTGAACTACAAGCACTACTGAACTACGGTGAACTCCTGTGATGAACTGCGAATATCCGAACTGGTTCTCCTTCTTCAAGAACATTGTTTCAGTATAAAAATAAAAGCGTCGTCGATCTTTCTGATGATCCTTTATCAAGATGAACGTGTAGATCTTCGGCAAGAATGGTCCCCTCTAGGAAGAACTTGCAGGAGATCCGTTTCTTTGATCTAAGTACTTGCTTCACTAGAAGGATCTCGAAGAACATGATCATGTTCGAGCACGAACTTGACTTGACTTCTTTACAAGAGCCATGAAGACTCGGATTTATTCATACAACTTAGAATGTCAATTCAATTTCGAAGCGGCTCCGAGGAATCATAGTTTCTTGTTTTTCGTGGTGTGCCATGGGCAGGTCGATGATTCATCTCCTAGAATCCAGCTTCATCAAAAATACTACTTGCATAGTCAATACTCGCATCAGTCCAAATACGCCTTTTGACCTAACAATCAGCATCAGCAAAAATTTTCTGGCAAAGACTTTGTATAATCGTGATAGAAGAACTAGCCAACAGGAGAAGTGGTGCGCATCGTCTGTACTACTACTACAATAGTGCGCAGCCATCTTCTGTACTACTACAATAGTGCGCAGAGTCGTCCAATCCGCTTTCCTGAAGTAAAACTCCTCGGTAGGAGTCGACTACGCCTTCGCCATGATTCGCATCTCATCGTCACGATGAAGTCACCTTCACGAAGGCATCGAAGTCACCTTCATCCCTCCCTATTCTTCCCTGGACGGCGCTCTTTAGTATTAATTCGTCCTTCTTCTACATTCACATAAGTATATTTTCAGGGTCTTCGCGCTCCCCTAATATTGCCACCAGGGGGCGGTAGGCCTATGAGTCCAATTGTGGTCTTCGGATTCGGTGGGGATGTAGTAGTAGAAATAAACGTGTTGTTGTTGCCGGTACCAGCACGCGCGGAAGACTCATTCGCACTGGAAGTAGACGCAGTTGTAGCGCTAGTTGTACCATCCGCAATTTCTTAGAACCAGATGTACGTTTTTAACTGAAGAAAGCTCAAATTATTCACTTTCACTCCTGAAAATAGTTATTGTACACCTACAGCCACACGTTTGCATTCTAGTGGGGAAACAAGACGAACCTACAGCACGAAGACATAAGAAATTCCACCAGTGGAGCAAGAGCGGTAATCAGATGAAAGAGAAACGATAACGTACTTAAACTTAAGTGCTTTGGGCAGACTCAGACATAAGTGGAAACATAACTTTGCCGGTCAATATTCTTCGCCTCTCCTCGACCTGCAGCTTGTCCTACTTCTTGCCTTGACCCGGCGCCTGCTCGTGTACTAGAAGTTGCTTCCCTTGTTGAAGAACCTACCTGAACAAAATCTGCTTCGTCTCCATGTCTTAGACCTCCCCTTAATTCATCTTCCCGGTGGAGAAAATCCCTCATCCGTTTACATACTTAATACCTCTGGGCGCATACTTAATACCTTCGAGGGATCGATCCCTGTAGAAGAGATGGATTAGGGGAACAAGCCTTAAATCTCCGTGTCCTCCTAGTTCCTCTGGGAAGATGATGTTCATAGCGTCTTCACCATTCGGAGGTGTGTCATCGCCTTCGTCCATACCGAATTCTAGGTCATCCTTCAATCCCATTATTAGCGAAAAATGTCTTATCTCTTATATAGGATATGGATATGCTAATCCTAATACCCGAGCAGATGAAGATGAATTCACGCACAAGTACATCATGTGGTTCACGACCATGGAACACCTATTCATCACTGTCTTTGAAACATCAGATGAAAGAGAACAACAAATATTTCCAGTATCACAATGATACCTTGTTGTGGTCGTAGATAAAAACAAACCTAGTACTAGATTGGGTCTTTGTGAAGTAAGATGTTAGAAATGGACCCAAGAAATGGGTCAAGATTAACCACCCACTACAACGACAACGAACGGTTAAACCACCCACTGCAACGTCAACGAGCACAACATTATCTCTTCCGGTCTCCTTCCGGTTCCCTGCTCTTCCGGTCCCTGGGGACCGGAAGAACAGGGAAGGATGTTTCGAGTATTTTTAGCCACCTACGACCACAAGATTATCTAGTCCACCACGCCTCGACCGGATCTACACAAAAACAAGGGGTTTGAAAACTTTTACATCATCTACTTATAATATGGAGACTTCTAACGCTAACCACGACCCTAGACCTATGTTAACGAGCATGAGATCATCTCCCGATGAATCTTTTTACAAAAATAGCAAAGACATAACATTATCTCTTCCTTGCCCGTTCTTCCGGTCCCACTGCCCAGAGGAACGTGGCCACCTCTCCCGAAGGTACTGGGTCGTAGTTCTTTTCCGTATCTGTCGTAGAGGAAGACGCCGAAAGCTCCCACAGCAAATCCAAGCATTTGGTTTACGCTCACAGGATTCCCAAACACCATGGAGCTTACTAGAATCGTCGTAGGCGTCTTCATATTCCCTACCACGAGGGAGACGACCTGGAGATGGATGGAATGAAGTTGTAGGTGGTAATTATCCCGCGATACAAGAACTGAGCTACCTTCGTATGTAGAAAATTGCGGGATAAAGAACCTTGAGGTGGAGCTAAATTCAAAATCATCAAAATATCAAATTCGAATTTCTTCTACTTATCAAAAAATATCTTTTGTTCATTAGTAGAAATAGGAGTAGAAATTTAGGACTTTTATTATAACAAACTATCGTCGTACTCGTAGTACACCTAATACATCAGTAGTTAAACTCAAAGTAGAATACCGCTCCCAAATATCCGATCGTTAAAAAGCCTATGAGATTAAAAGCGGCTGCGGCAAAAGCGGCGGCAAGCACCCATGCCTTGCCGCTGTTTGGTAGCACTAGGAATTGAGTCCAAGGCTCCAGTCCTTCTTGGACTCGTGTTAGAGGGAAAGGATTAGAGCTTGTTTTAATTTCCATACAATGAACAAGTTTTCCGTGAGTACTAGCAGTAGCACTATGCATAGCAATGAATGAATTCGCAGGTTGCAATCAACACCATCAAGCAGTTGGACAACTTCTCTAGCAATGAATGAATATGAATTCGCACGTTAGACGACTATAGCAACAGCAAGTTCTCGCATTTGTTGCGACGACTAGATGAGATGAAGTGATCATGATCTAAATGATCTAGTAGTTGTATCTTTTCTTCCCAACCGACGTTGTGACTTAGATCCAGAGGAAGATCTTCAATACGAGTCCTAGTATCAACTACTGATGGTCTCTACTACTCTCACACTTAAGCTCGTCGACCTCATCATAAGAGTGACCACAGTAGGAAGAAGACCATGTTTAGTGGCGCCGAGTAGTATAGGAGGGATATGGAGTCCAACTTCAGTCCGTTTCCACGCATTAACTCTGCCTGAAGCACTGACTTCATCGCACGGAAGCCAGCTGCGGATCCGATTAGAAAGTAGAATTTGCGGCTTTTGATTGCTTACTTTGAGGATTCAATACAATACCAATAGGGAATACGCACGACCTCCGAACTATCGAGGGAAATTAGCAGGCTATTGAGGGAAAGTATTCAATACAATACCGATATGGTGTAAGACAAGACCTTCTGTCTGAGTTTCTAGTTCGGTAGTAACTGAAATACAGCCTACAGACCTTCTAAATAGATAATCTACTTAGACGCTCGGGGGTTTTACTTGCTGGCTTTGGGTATGATTCAAGTAATTCTTTGGCTGTATTGATGCGCTGCGGGGAAAGGGTAGGATCTAGACGGGCTTTACATGTGCAGCTATGGCGTGTCAAAAAAAAAATCCAAATTTTTGATTTTATTCAAAAGTAGAGCAATTCAATTTCATGTGAAGCAGAATCAAATTATCGATGAAACATATCTGTTCTAGTTGCTGTACTTTAATGGATTCTGGTGACTCATGTTACGAAGACTATCGAATATGAAAATATCTGTATCCCAAAAATTTTGATTTTATTCTAAAATAAATAAATTCATTTGCTGAAATTACGAAAGTCTGTAAGCCAATGAGTCACTACTCTGTGCACTGGTTACCAGAAAAGGAATGTGCTTCCTATTTTTCCCATTTCACAAAAATTTTGATTATATTCCAAAAGAAATAAATTCATTTGCTGAAATTATGAAAGTCAGGAAGTCAGTGAATCACTATTCTCTACACTAGCTACCATCAAAGTGCTGTGCCTTACTTTTTCCCATTTCACAAATTTTTTGATTTTATTCTAAAATAAATCAATTCATTTGCTGAAGCTGCGAAAGTCTCTGAGTGAGTAAGTCACTATCATGTGGACTGGTACCCAACTCATTTCTGCAGCAACAGCATCTACACATCGAATATAGCAATAGTATGTGGGGATTACTCTGGTCACCAGCGAAGAATTGGATCTGCGTCGAGGAGCCATCTCCATCATGTGAAAAAAAAACAATAAATAAAGGAAGAAAACTTGGACCATATTACGTTCTATGTCGGATTCAAAGTAGAAATCAAAATGATCCTTACCTTAATCTTGTTAAATAGCCTCTTTATAATGTGTAGCTCTCATGCACCATTGAACGAAGATAGGTTCGAGACTACTGCTAGTACTGGTACCAGTTTCCAAGGAAGGAACCAACTTGCCTTCCGCATTGGTCTACTTGCCTCCTTCGGTATCCAAAGTCGAGAAGGCCGACTTGATTATATTCTAATGTTCTTGTGTTAACATCAAGAAGAGTATTATCAAGGTGCATCAATACTTAGGACGTGCAACAACCACATGATATTACTATCAAAAAAACACAAGGCTCGCTCCACCACCTATCGAATTTGAATAACTACTTCTGGGTAAGCGTGTAAGAACCTACGTCGTGCCAGAAGCACTTATAAGGCACGATCAGAAGAAGTTCTCGAGGAAAACTTTAAGTAGTTTAACAAGAAGAACGTACTAGTTCATCACTCATAACAAGGATATGAACAGGCCGATCATTTCGAAATCAGACTTCTCCGACAGTGCACATATCATGCCACCACCAACCGCGAACAGAAGCGCGCCATATGCTGGCCAGTTGTTAGAGCTTGATTGTTCCGTAATTCTTCAGCCCTGTAGTAGGGAAGAGCTAGTAGTAGGGAACAAGAGCTAGCAGTACATGCGGCTGAGGGATCGATGGATCCCTATACATAGAGATGGACTAGGAGCAGTCCATCTATATACTACTATTATGTTGATACACATAGACATATAATATAGAGTGATCTGTATCTGAGTATAATCGAGATCGATGCTGGACTCACTAGGGAAAGCCTTAAAGTTGAATATCTTGCCTTGGAATAATTTCGCACAGAGAACGGCCCAAATCGGTGTAGTGTTTTGCAGCATGGCGTGGAAAGAGGGGGACTATTAGAGTTTGAGGGAGGGGGACTATAACCATTAGAGTTGGAGGGAGGGGGACTATTAGAGTTTTGCAGCATGGCGTTCGAGTTGGAGGGATCGAGTTGGAGGGACGATGACCTGCATCATTTTTAGAACTTATATATAAATATATCATACCAAAAGAGCAGCAGCAGGGTAAGATGCTCTACTCCTTTTGTTTCTTCGTTTGAGGTAACGCCTTTGATCATGATCTTTACTTCCACAAGGAGCCTTAAAACAAGTAAATCAATGCGAAATTTGCTGCGCCGAGACTAAGAGCGCCACATATCGAGAAAGGTGCTATTATTAGAACTAAGAGAAATTATCCATCTTTAGCAGCATCTTGGGTCTCGTTTTCCCTTGAAAAACGGGATCAAGATGCCTGCAAAGGTGGATTTCTTGTAGCCTTAATATTATCACTACTTGCTGACGGAGTGTCAACCTTACCCTCTCCTCTTCCGGGATCAGACGACATGGCCCGCCGCTCGTGCCGAAGAAGGGTTAGAAGTAGAAGAAAGTATAGAGTTTTAGAAGTCATATTTTTATAGCAACTAAGTTAGAACAAGAACGAGAAGGAAGTACAGGGTAAGTCGATGAAGTAGAGGGAAGTACAGGGTAAGTCGATGAAGTAGAGGGAAGTACAGGAGGGTATTGTAGAAGTAAAGGGAAGTATAGGGTCGTTAGAAGCAGAAGGAAGTATACGGTCGTTAGAAGTAGAAGGCTTAGAAATTTTATCTTAGAAGTATAACGGTTAGAGTTTTTATCTTAGAAAAAGTAGAAGGGTTAGAGGCAGAAGGATCAACTAAGTTGTGTTTCCTCAGCTTCACCATCAGTGTCTATTTTCTTATACAATTAAACTCTTGTGTTCTTTCTGTATCAACGAAGTTGTGTCAACTTCTCTCAGGTATATCTATATGGAGCTGGACTAAATAAGTACTCAACAGCCTCTACTATGTTGTACGAGAGCAAGTGCTCACATGATGTTGACACTAGGCCGTGGACCCCCTTCTAGATCAATGATTAGCAGAAAAAGTCACTCTTATGAGACGAAGACGATGGTTCACATTAACACAATTGAAATTGCTGAAAAGCGAGGACGTCCTATTCCTTTACCTCATAAATACACGGCAACCCAAAGAGTCCGAGGCTAGAGGCTGCCAAGCTCATTATGAACAGTCCTCGTGATGCTTTTTCCAACGAGGCAGACGACCATCGAGTATACACTTTTTAACTTGTTCAAGAGGAAAAGTATAGGTCGTAGGGGCAGCAGCCTCGATGGTGGTCCTTCTAATTAGAGCTTCCCGGAATCCATCTTGAGAGTCATCTTGGCTCTGCTTTTCCCTTAGAGGGGTGCTGTCTCAAGATGCTTTTCAAAATGGGAGATTCCCGGAAGCCTTAATCTAAGTAGGATGGAATTAGAAAAAACATCACGACTCTGCTTAATCATGAGCATGTGCGTACTCGTCAACCAGATTGGATATTTGAAGTGGTATTCGACGTAGAGCCACTTCGTGATGTTCACCAACGCCACTGATATAGCAAAGCCAAGTATAGTTAGACGCTGCCTAAATCCATCTCGATCAGCATCTTGGTGCTCTTTTTCCCTTCAAAACGGGGCCAAGATGCTGGGAAAGATGTACTTTCTCAAGCCTTAATATAACGAGAAACCCCGCATACACTCGACTCACGGTTACTTTTTCCTCTTGCATCTTTTTCCCTGCTAGTACTTTGGAACAACTGAGGACGTGAATCTATTCGGCAATCTGCCTAATATTTGTTTCCCTGACGAATTGTGGAAAACTATAATATTCTTATTGCGGCGGGTGAACGGCGAGGAGTAGGAGCGCCGCGGTCGTCGCGTCGTCGCGTCGTGTCCTTCTTGAGTAAATAAAATGGGTTGAAAGTTCTTCTTGAAAGAGGCTATTATTCTATTGTCGATCAACAAAGTAAGTGACAAAACAACATGGTTTAATAACCTGTTGGAGGACGACTGTTGTAACACTTCTGACGACCCTACAACTGCTTTGGATGATACTCCTACCACTTACTTCTTGGGCTAAGCAGAGCAACAGCAATCTGTTATTGGGTATGACCATTTCTAGCAATACGGCCATATTAATTACCTTGTTTCTATTATTCTCTCTCGGTGCAAGAAATGGGTCTCGACATCGCTCGATTGTGCATGAACCGAAGTAGTAGAGCTTCTCAACACACAAGTAGGCAACATCAGGACAACAAGAACAATCAACGCCTCTTGTTGTTCTTGTTTCACTTGCAGCGCCAGGCAGAGGTAAATAGTTACAGTCATTACAATTACATCGACGATGTGAATATAATTATATAACATCGTCTCATGTGGTACTTTTTTGACTATCTAAGGTTTACCCGCTTATATGACCTAGGTGGATCCCCGGAGCCCTCTCCCAGGACCACGACGAGCTACGCGCTGGCATCAAAGGTCAGACTACGTTGTAAGAAGCAGAAGCTCATCTTCTCCTCTCTGGAAGTCGTAAGAAATCTCATCTTCTCCTCTCTGGAAGTCGTAAGATGCTCATCTTCTCCTCTCTGGAAGTCGTAAGATACTCATCTAGAAGCAACGATCTTCATCGCTTGGAAGGGACAACGATCTTGTGATAAGTTGCTGTGATGCGTGTCAACAATGCTTCATAGAAGGCGAACATAAATGCCGCCTGAGAGACGGTTTGTACCATTTTAGGTGCTAACCCCTTAAAAAAGCCACTCAGACCACCATCTGCTTCTTCGGATTAGAGGTGAGTCAGTTCTTGTTGAAAAAAAAGGTCCTCTGGTGCACTGGTCCTCTGGCCGTGGACAAGACAATAAAGCTACGACAACCAAAAACATTGCATGAGAATCAAGGTTAATGGGCTTCAGCTTTCGCAGTATTAATACAGGAGGAGCTCGGGTCACTAAAATAATCTAGTACGTAGGTACTTAGCTGCTTTTCACTTCGTCCAGAAGAACAATTTTACTTCTATAGTTCTACTTTGAATGGGCAAAAACCGGAACCATTCATACTTACACGACCTGCTTCACTGTATTATATTTTACTTCTACAGTAGACCTTGCTTTTTCAGACTACCACAACCATAACTGTATATCATTTGATGACCTCTTCTATTATAGTACCTTGCTTGTTTTTCAGACTACCATAACCATAACTGTATATTTCCACCAAGCACGACCACATTGTTCTTGTTCCTCCTGCTCTCATCCGTGTCTGGGCCACCTGAAGCGGATACGTGAAGACAGTTGCAACCGCTTTCGTGAAACTGCCGAGCAAAAAGGCCCTTACAGGGGAAAGTTCAACAAGAGAGTTGTTCGGTGTAGTCGTGTTCAAGTTCATGCTCTTTGCGTTTTTATTAGAGCAAGCTATGAACTACATCACTTAAGAAAGACAAGCCTTGATATGGTCTGAATTCAACATCGTGGGGAGCAAGAGAGTTAACATGAACATTATATCCGTGAGAAGTAGATGCTTTTCCCCTCCTGAGAGGAAAAGAAGTAGATGCTTCTTGTCTTCTGATATCATTGATTGCTTCGGCACCTCCAGCCTGCATTCTAAACAAGATAGACATTAGATCACCAAAGAGGGCTTGATGAACAAACTAAAAGTTTTATGTAGATTCATCTCCCTCTTTAGGTGTATCCCTTCATGCAATTCAGATTCATCTCGTTCATCTACTTTCGCGACGTCATCTGCATAATGGAAATGGTACTTTCTGAAGGAAAAGAACTGCTACTCGCACTCGTGGTTGTTCCAGAGGATTTCGAACCTGCTAGGATCCCACCACCAGCAGTTGTAGCTCGCTTCTTTAGGATGTCGTACAATTATGACAGGAAGAAGTGTGCTCAAGCTCATACTTCTCAAGAAAACAAGAAGCTTTTTCGTTTTCCCAGTTAGAAACAGCCTAAGTACTTTTTACTCAAGAAAAAAAGCTTTTTCGTTTTCCCAGCAGTTAGAAACTACAACAGCTCAAGTACAACTTTCTCAAGGATCATCATGAGTACAACACTTCTTCGCAGCTTCATAACAATGCGTACTGAATCATAGGGTTCGACACAAGATACAGACTCGTGCCCAGTCCGTCCCAGAGGGACCACAAGCCCTTCTCTTGAGCGATTTGGTACGCGACTACAAAAACATTATTGGAAGAGGCTGTGGAGGAAGTAGAAGCATCCTCTGCCTCATCCTCTGCTTGGACGACAACTATACTAGCCGAAATATCTTCACCATTCTCGAATTCCTGCCGACTGCGACTGCTACTAGAATTAGAGCTCAGCACCCGTATCTCCATTCTAAGACCACGGCGCACTTTGATGATGGTGCCCATGTCTCCCTATGCGACAGCTTCAAGATGCCTCCGGAGATGGATTAGGGGAGGCCTTAACAGCAGAAGAAGAAGTCCTTGATCTTTGTCCTGGTCCTGGTCTTTGTCCTTGTTCTTCGCCTCTATTTCCTTTTCCCTCACCTTCGCCTCTATTTCCACGACCCTGTCCTCCTCGTCTCATCAGCATACATTGCATATTTGCTTTCCAGAGGGGTTCCGTTAGTAGCATATTTAGGACGCCTGCTAATAGAGAGCCTACGAAACTCTCCAAGGCCGCACCCGACTCTCTACTTTCCAAGGCACCCGACTCTCTTTCCACTGCAGTCGACGACGAAGCATTAAAGTAGTTGGAGTTGTACTTGAACTACGAAACCTTCTCCTACATCAATTTAAAGTTGACGTCTGTGGTCTGACGTAGCTGCAATCGAGATATCATTGCTCATAGCGTGCTGGGAGGTAACTACCAACAATCGAGAAAAAGGTGGTCGTTAGTACAACCCGCATAAAGATGAAATACGCTGGAATGTACTTTCCTCGTTGTAACTATAAGAACAATAATTATTATATGGTAGTTCGATCATGATGATCGCATGTAATATATAACTAACGTGGAGCTTAGATTTTGATTGTACACTAAGTTTCCTAATACAAAATCGTAAAAGACAGCACCTTCTGGGCAATTCTTAAGCTTTTGAGCAATTCGAAGAGGTAAAAGTACAGGAATTGCGATACCCCGATCGTCGTTATGACTGGACAAAGACCCGTGTAACTGGAGTAGTTGTAGAGTGCCCATTCATGTGGTATAGAAGAAGTTGTGTTGTTCTATTGTAGGCTCCTCCATCTCTACTGAAATTCTCTAGTACTACAGGAATAAGTGAGTCAAAGTACTAGTTCTATCAACAAACACGGAAAAATTTGTTGGGCATAATTTTTGCTGTACTGGTCTCAAAAGATGAAGGAAAATAACGGCTAGTACATTTCTTACTGAATAGCAAGCCGTGAAGGTGAACAGTTACTGTAGGTAATGAATATGAATAATTCGGTAGTGCCAGCAGCTAGAAAACGCATCAAATTATAGTATCACGACAATTCTTGAAAAAGTACAATGCTCCCATTCCTCCTTGTTTGTATAAATCGCGGATAGTACTGCTTCTGCTACCTGGATTTTTCGGGACTTGTGCCCGAGCTCGAATGACATCCAGTGGGAAAAGCAACGCCCCTGCCAGAGCGCTCGCTAATGCGCCTGCGTTTGCGTGCAAAAAGAGTCGCGCGCTCTCTCCGAGAACTGGAGCAGCCGGACTCGAACACGAGGATGACATTTTCGTCGAAGTTGTGGTTGTCGAAGGTGTGCTTGTGTCTGAGTTCTACGTAGAAGAGAGCTCTTCTTTTTCTTGCATAGCCATAGGAGCTGTAGTACTGATCTTAGAAGATTTCTCCAATGTCAACTACATCGCTTTGTTTTCTAGCTCCTGAAAGCTTGAAGATATCTCTCTTGAGTACAGTAGTAGTGTAACCAATTATCTGATCGTCTTATCTCTCTTGAGGTCTTATAATCTCTCTTGACCTTGAGGTCCGTCGTATTACCATCTCTCGAAGATGAAAGCCTGGAGTACATCGCACAGAAAGAAATTACTGGTCAGCTGCTGTACATCATGGTCCCTGCGCCATGTTGACATGCCCTGACTCACACAACCGTGACTCTGACTGCTTGTTTTATTTGGTTTTTCTCATTATTTATCACGCCATGCGAGAAAAGGTTAATAAATTTATAGGTTTGATTTTGCTGTAGTCGATTGACAACACCTCATCATGGGAGGGGACTGAGGGGGGTGTGCGCGTAGGAAACATGACAGCAGCCTGGTCCTGGGTAGGCCGCGAGACAAAACGAAAAAGACAAAATGAATTCTTTCATCTAATTTGCTTTTATTCATGATCAATCTTCATCGTCATCATGAAACCTACTAATCCTGCTGCTCTTTTGAGTGACATTTCATTTTTTTCTGTGGTCCACCCTAATATCTCCAGTACTAGAACGCTCTTGTTACAACTACATGCTCCTTGTTCTAGTTGCTGTGGAGTTGTTAAGGCCACACATCATGCTATAATACTTTGTGGAGTTACACGACATCATGCTTTGCTTTTTGACCCAAGCTCCCCGAACCGTCAGTAACCAAAGCTCCGACTTCTTACATGCTCCTCGTGAAACCACCTCCACCATGGAACGCGAGATTAGTCTCACGAACGTTCTGGCCCAGTCCCGGAAGCTGCTTCGCTTCTCTTGGCTTGAAGAAGATCTGAAGGGTGTAAATCTTCTTGAACGGATCCCACGAAATTAGAGGAGGAAGAGAAGTAGATGAGAACAAGAAGATTTTGATCATCATGTTTGTTATGTCTATAATACATTTAAACCTGAAGAGCTGTCCTCATTCATTCGCCTCCCAAGTAGTCCTTCAAGCCTACCGGCGGGATGATAGCTGTCCTTGATGTACTAAAAAAGCAAGTAGTCGTGTTGAATCTACTTACTACTAAGAAAGTAGTTGTTCATTCATTCGAATCACGACGACGTAGTAGCAATTTTGTAAAAAAAAAGTAGTACTAAAACTATTTCCGATTCACTACTTGAAGAAGATATAGTTTTTCCGAGGCCACCGAGATCTACATCGATCTTCCAACTACTGCAGATGAGACATCAAGATTCTAGTGCTTGTTCAGCACTTTGCTTCTAGTAAGTACACAACATACACCGGAAAAGCTTAAGCAGGTAAATATCTATCCCAATAAGAGGATTCACATTCATTTAATGAAGGAAACTGAAACTACAACTATTCGATAAACTGAAATAAGCAAGTTGTAAGTACTTGAAATAAGCGAGATACGTAAAGAAGAGGAATGTAGTAACGACTCTTTTATTTCAGTCAGTAACTCGCTTATTTTCAGTTTTCGAGTATATCTATCCTAATAAGAGGATTCATCACTCATTACTACAACTGCTTCATAACTTGATAGTATTTTTCGCGTTTTCGACTTCCATGTTCGGGACTTTGAAGGCGATAGTTTCGTAGGGATCTGCTGCGACCAAAATTAGAGCTACAACCCCTAGCCCATCGTCCCGTGAATGCAGCATCCCGTTAAAATACAACTCGCCGCTAAATATATATACATCCATATATCGGAGCAATTTGTAAGGTTTCACAACTCGCATGGCATGGAGTGCATGGATCACATGGAGTAGCATGGAGCTAAAGGGGGAGCTTCTTGCGCCCCTTAAAGCTTTGCGCTCCATGCACTCCATGCTACTCCATGCACCATGCGTGCTATAAACGACTCTGATATATATATTCGATAAACTGAACTAAGCGAGTAACTACTTAAAATAAGCGAGATATTGAACAAGGAAGAGTAGCCCTGTCAAAGCTACCTCCCTTATTTCAGACAGTAACTCGGTTATTTTCAATTTTCGAGTACATACAGCTGACCACAATATACATACTCGCCGCAGCAGAAGTACAACCAAGTACTCCCTTCATCAATACAAGAGCACAATATACATACTCGCCGCAGCAGAAGTACAAGTACTCCCTTCAATACAAGATGATGGGGGGGGTACTCTTCCAGTCACAACTGCCAGCGCTGCACTTTAACGGGATTCACGTGGAGATGGGTTCTTTTGAGCCATAACAAAAGGTACTGAAATCTGTCGTCCGGCGTCTCCTTCCTCTGTTCGTAACAGGACATCCAACGAAGTTGAGGCTCAACATTCTTCTCAATCGAAGGATACTCAATCTCGAAGAGGAGAGCCTGTAAAGGAGTAGTAGTATTTGTAGTTGTAGGAGTAGCGTGCCCAATAATGATGTCTAGGCTTCTAAGAAGAAGTTAATTAGGGGAGATGATGATCCATTGTGACGACGGACGAGTGCTTGGATGAAAGTAGACGGAGTGAGTGAGTGATGGAGTGCTTGGAAAGTAGATCAAAGATGATAATGAAGCTGCATATTAGCTGCTGAAGTAGATGAAGAAGCATTACATACTAGACTGCAACGTTATATCAAAAGTCAAATTCACAAGAACTACATCAAGTAACCTTTGTTCTAGATCCATCTTTTTGGTTTGTTCTAGGTTTGGATCTCGTTCTCAATAAATCAGTATGAAATTCATAAGTAATTTTTCTACCTTTTGTTTCGTATTCGGATCTCTTTCTTTCGTCACCTTGTACCCTGGTCTTCCGATCTTTACGGTTCCGCTTTTTTTGACTATATTCTTAGGCACTGGCACTGCAGTTCCGGTCGCGCCCGTACCAGCTTGAGCTTGCTACGATTAGAGAGGAGTAGCAGTCGAAGTAGTATAGTACTCACAGTAAGTAGTAGCGTGAGGCGAAGGGGATGCTGTGTGTAGGATCCGTCTCGTAGACCTTGAAGCATCTCGAACTAGATAAGCATCAACTTCAAGAGTTCTTACTCTACTTACTCTGTTACAGAACATCAAGGACTATTGTTATCCAGTTAAGTGAAATACTCAAGAAGTATTCTACATACTCAAGAACAAGACGCTTATCTCAAAAAGGATTCTACATACTGCTGCTCTAGATCATTATTATTACGAGAACAACTACTCAAGAACAAGATGCTTCTACTCACATTCACGGTGTTGTATAACTCATAATGTCTTTCGCGCTGCTGTCGTCTGGCCAGGTTCACTTGATGCTTCTTTCCCTGAGTATGCGCGAGATAGGAACCTGGTCATATATTTTTTTTTTTTTGGAGAGACTAAGACTGACCTAGGATGACGAGATGACGATGATGAGGGAAAAATTAAAAACCTGTATAGATATGATAATAATAGAATATGAATAACGTACTATAGAATAACTGTAAGTTGTTTAGCATTTTGCACAGTGAAGGCCGCTCTAAAATTCCTTGATAGCGACACCCTCCAACTTCCTCCCATCAAGATAGATCAAGGGTATCTGATAGCCTGCATTGTAGAAAAAATACCTTCATTCGTGTGGACCGTGAGGCATAATCGGCATTCGAAAGCGCCCACATGGTTCATCATAAAATAGGGATCCTTTGATAAGTCGATGCTTTTTTAGAAGAGCTCACCACAATTCATTTCTTCAGGGGTCCATTTTGCTTCAGACGGTCAGTCTCAAGAAGAAGGTGGTGGAAACAGTTCAGAAGTAGAAGTAGAGGAAATAGATTGAAAATGTTGGCCTCCCTTGTACTTCTTGTAGAAATGAAGTGCTGTAAGTTGTGAGCCTTAACTTTCCATAGCCAGCCTTCGTAGACGCTCTCGGCGATCGATCGCACGATCGGACTCCGTGGTGAAGCCCGAGTGCTTATAACCCGGAGCATTTTGACGGTCTACCATTTTGACGGTTGAGTAAAGCTTACAACTGGTGGTACGTGAAAATTATCTATCAATGTTGATTGAAGTGGTCTTCTATAGTACTAGATACAAGTCTAAGAGACTCGCAGTTCATCTACAACTGGTACGTAATCTACGATGAATGAAGTAGTGGCAGAGAAAAATGTTGTCCTTCTACAACTTGAGGTCAAAGGGAAGATCACTCCATTGAAACGAGGGAAGGCGAGTGCACCAACAGCTCCTGTATTACGAACGAGGACCAGTTGCATTTATTTTACGAGGACTACAATCATGCTGTTCTACTTGTATTTTTACATACAACTTACTCCTTAAATATCTATTTCGCGATTTCTACTTGAACTTCTATTAAGATTTTCAGTATAATTTTCAGGAGAACTATAATCTTCTGGTATAATTGGAGATCCAGCACAACAGGCTTCCTTCATTCATTCATAATTCTGGCAGAAAGCACGAGTACCAGCATAGACATAGAAGTAGGGATCGTTTTTCTTCTTGGCTCAACAGTGAGTCAGAAAGAAGGTTCCATTCTTGTTCCCGTAGACGATATTATCATTTTCCACCTTCATCCTAAACGACCATAATTCTAGGAAGGGATAGGATTTGATTCGCCGTCCACAATTTGACCTGTATCCTCGAGCGAATGTGTGCAGAAGACTGCCACAAGGGCGGCGCCATAGAGGTTCGGGACTCGATTATAAACAACAAGACAGGAACGCACCATCATGCCAGTTGTTGTTGTAATTAAGTAATTCCATTATTTTTCAATACTCTCATCATATACATGATGTTGATATTGTTGTGCTTCATGTTGAAGAATCATCATCTGCTACGCTAGCAGCTGCGCAGCAGGGAAGATCAAGAAGAACATGCTGTTCTCTCACAACTACAAATTATACAACCTGAGTTTTACTACGACCTAGATCGTCCATCAGATCATCGGAAAATAAACACCACCTTTCAACAAAAGTATTGCCATATATATAGGTTCTGCACGAAGAACACGAGGATATTTGCAGGTCTTGTGCTCAAGAATCATGTCCGACGATGAAGAGGTGGTAGGAGTATGACAGTTGTGAAGAATTGGTATTCATTTCAAAATTCATTAGGTTTCCCCGTGTCGTTGGGTACTATGACAAAATGAGAGGAGGCGGGATGATAATCGGTGTGGCGGTGGTTAGGTTAGGTTGCATCTATTTTTGGATGATGTTGCAACAACGGAGAATGAGCTATTTGAGCAACAACTTTTAGACGGAGTAGATAATTAAGGGCTTTAATTATGAGCATAATTAAAATCTATTATTCAGCTATAATTTTTCATCTTTCTAAGGTGCAAAAACTGTAACGCGCGCGCGCGCGTTACGCGCGCGGGTTACGCGCGCGCGCGCGTTACGCGCGCGCGTGATAACGCGTAACGCGCGCGCGCGTTACGCGCGAAATAAGGCGCGCGCGTTACATGCGCGCGGCGCGCGCGCGTAACGCG